TTTTCTTTTTCACAGCCTCCATGTCTGTCTCTAGCCTTGTTTCTTTTTTTTTTTTTTAAACTTGTGCATTGCAAAAAACATAAGCAAAGATCTGGCATGCACTGACTAAGCACTGTTCATTGAGTCATATCCTCAGCTGACTCCTACTAACACTTTTTTTTTTTTTAAAAGGGAAAAGAGTAGATTCTTCGTTATTGTTTTTAGTAATTCTTCTGGCTTATTTTCATTAATCGTCTTGATCATTTGCCTCCTCTGTGCCAGTTTTCCTTTTCTGGGGTAAGATGAAGCCCAGGTTTGTCTGTAAGGCTTGGTCAGTGGAAAATGCTTTCTTCTCTTGGGGAATGAAGCGTGGGGTGTGAGTGCAGTCCTTGTGTCTCTCATTAGAGTAATGTGGCTCCTAGTAACCCCAGCTGACCAAGATTTGCTTACATGGTCTGGGTATTGACATATTTTCTGTCGTGAACGTCCTGTCCTTGTTTTTCATCCAGGGTTGGGTGATATTTAAAGTCAACGGATGACAAGTCTGTTTCACTCCTCTAGTTCCAGTGACAGATTGAATTGCTTATCATCAATATCACTAGTTGAATTGGGATTCAATCATACAAACTGGTCAACATCTGCTTAGCAGTCTTCCTGGGCTGTAGGCCTGCATTTCTGAGTGTGTATACTAGATTTTTTCTGAGGTAACTTTAGTAAGATAATGTTGATACTACAAAGGAATTAGGTTTTATTTATTTAGTATTGAGACAGGGCCTCTCTAAGTACCTCTGGCAGTCCAAGAACTGCTTTGTAGACCAGGCTAGCCTTAAATTTGCAGAGATTTGCCTGCCTCTGCCTCTAAATTGCTAGGATTAAAGACGTACGCCACCAAGCCTGACTAGTTTGTATGTTAAGTGAATGAGCTGGTTGAATGCTTGATGTTATTCTTCAGATACAGTGTAGCTCTTAAAGTCATATAGCTAATGGTAGTTTCTCTGCATATGTTAATATTTTTTAAATTATAGATCTTCAGTTGAACTTTTTGAGACTTACAGCATGGCAGCAATGACATTCAACCCTCCTGTTGAACCTTCAAACTCTAAAAAGAAGGTATGTGATACTTTTTTTTAATAGAGAAAATAAACATTAAATCAGTGAATTTATTATCAATTCAACTGCCAATTTTCTTTTCTTCTTCTTTTTTTGAAACAAGAGTATTGCTTTGTAGTCCAGGGTGACTTGAACTTATGATTGTTTTGCCTTAGACTTCCATGGATTGAGACTATAGGTATTGACCACAAAGGCCTGGCTTTAGGAATTGAGCATTGATTGGATGCATGGGGCTGAAATTCTATAGAGATGGTTATAGTTGATAAAATTTTCATTCAGTATAGGGAACGTCCAAGACCTGACTGGAATCTCTCTTTACTGTATTTCTTTTTTGTTGTTTTTATTTGTTTGTTTTGAGGCAAACAAACCTCACTGTGTCTAGCTAGCTCTGGCTGGTCTGGAACTCATTTTGTAGACCAGGCTGGCCTTGAACTCACAGATCCACCTGCCTCTGCCTCCTGAGGGCTGGAATTAAAGGTGTGTGCCACCACCGCCTGGCACAATATGAGTAGTTTTAACTATTAATTTTAACCTTTCTTTCCAGGATAAATTTTTACAAGGAGACTCATTTTTGAATGAAGATTTAAATCAACTAATCAAAAGATACTGCAATGAAGCTGCTACTGAGACACCGCTAGATTTCACCAAATGTTTGAAAACATCTTCACAGTAGCCTAAAGATGAAAGAAGAGTCGGTGGACTGTCTTATATATTTATTTGTATGCGCATATGCAGAGACACATACAGATTCATGAGGGCCTTTTCCTTTGTGTACAAAGAAAACTTCCTAGGAACCGAAGCAGAGGCCACAGAAGACACGATTTATTCATTTGTTTTATGGCTTGCTCGGCTTGCTTTCTTACACAACCCAGGCCAGCTTGCCCAGGAATGGCACCGCCCATGATGTGTGGGTTGAGCCCTACCACATCAGTTATTAATTTTGTAAGCACCCTACAAACATTCCCATAGGCAAGTCTGATGGAGGTAGTTCTTCAGTTGGGGTTCCCTCTTGACGGGTGACTTTAGTGTATGTCAAGTTGACAAAAACTGAGCAAAACAGTTATTAAATCCTCTTTATAACTAAATGAGTATTGTGATTGCAGCACCATAGATGAAAGCAAAAATATCTTAGTAAGGATATTTAAAAAATAACTTAAAATTAGACTCTTGTTCTTTGGCTTCTATTGAATGATACATGTAATAACCAGATCTGACCTTTAGAAGGAATGAGTATTGCCCAGGGTGTGGTGGTGCGCACCTTTAATCCCAGCAGTCGAAAGGCAGAGGCAGGTGGATCTCTGAGTTCAAGGCCAGTCTGGTCTGCAGAGTGAGTTCCAGGACAACCAGGACTGTTTCACTGAGAAACCCTGTTTCGAAGAAACAAACAAACAAAAGATGAAGGAATGAGTGCTCTTATGGCTAGTTCAAAGAAAGTTTGAATGTGATTCTGGAATCTTTGAAGTTGTGTTCATTTTTTTACACTAGAGTGAGGGGGGAAAGTGCTCAGTAGGACGCAAGTAGGGCTGAGATGTCTGTTGTGCTGTAGGGACATTAGTGCTGACTAACTAGTAAAGTGGTTTTTTTTTTTTTAATTCTTACAGATAAAAACTGTAAATGCTTATAAATAGAGTTATAGATCATTACTTTATATAGTAGCTATTGCCATATTGTAGAGGTGACTTATGAAATGTGTGCATAGATATTTTCTGCTATTAATAGTTGAATAAAATAGCTTCCTTTTCTACTTCATAGTCTTGTGGAGGTTTTGTTTTTTATTTTTAGTGAAAAGCGGTTTAGGTTGTAACATGAGGGGGCCTGCTTGTTGGGGTTTTCTATCCTGCCCAGTTCCCACAGCTGTTTAGCCCCAAAGAAAATCACACAGAGGTCTCCATAAGTTATAAGCTGATTGGCCTATTAGCTCAGGCTTCTTACTAGCTCTTATGACTTATATTAACCCATTATTTTGATCTATTTTAGCCATATGGCTCAGTACCTTTTTCAGCTGGCAGGTCACATCCTGCTTCCTCAGTTAAACAGACTGTTAATTCAGCACCATAGAAGCCAGTCTTTCTGGGCCTTAGAGCTCTTTCCTCATGAAAATATGAAAACAGAAAATCCCCTTTACCATCCAGCAGACTCGGGAACAGTGACCAGTTAACCAATTTAAAGCCAGCTCTTACTCTGAGCGTATTCTTACATTGAGTTCCAGAAGTAAATCTCTCTCTCTCTCTCTCTCTCTCTCTCTCTCTCTCTCTCTCTCTCTCTCTCTCTCTCCCTCTCTCTCCCCAGAGTCCCACTTTATAACTTGGGCTTTACTGGAACTCAGAGAGCTCTGCCTGCCTCTGCCTGGGATTGAAGGTGTTCATCACCATGCCCAGCCTAAAAATATTTCTGGAGCCACCTTTTTAAGGCTTTATTGTTTCTTGTTTTGTGACAGGACTGCTCCCTGTGTAGTCCTTGCTGTCCTGAAACTCACTATGTTTACCAGGCCAACCTTGAACTCACAGCGAAACCCTTGACTCTGCCTCCCATTACACCCAGCTAAGGCTTGATTATTAAAAATGAGAAAAGGTATGGTTCAGCATACAACTTTCTTAAATTCTACTGTTTGACTAAAAAAATTTCAGAAATGTTAGAAATATTTGTATACACAACTGAAAGATCTATGTGTATATATGTATCCATTGTTTTCTAACACCGATACATTTATGTTTCACTTTGGCAGCAAGGACATAGATAAGTGAAAGGCCAGTTTTAAAATAGAAATTGATTGATAGGGTATTTTATCACTGTTTTAGACTTTTCCGTTTCTTGTCACAGTTGGGCTATAAATCTATACAGCTAGCATTTGAATGACATACATATTTGAGGATAAACTATATATGTACATTAACTTTTTATATAGGCTTATTAATATTTCCCTTTTTGGAGATAAATATTATAGACATTAATAATCACAGGCACATATACCTTGAGGGCTATATTAAACTACAGCCTTAATTTCTTTTTGAAGACAGCTCTTGAGCACCTACTGTGTGCTCAGCAGCACACTGGGCACTTAAAAGTAGGAGTGAAACAGCCTTGGCCCTCCTGCATCTTTGATGCCAGCTCAGGTAATTCATTGTTTAAAAATGCAGTATTACCCCGCTCAGTGTCAGAATCATTTGATCTCTTTCATTTATAGAAATTGGATAAAATGTTTCCAGGATATGTTTTAAAAATGAGGCAGTGCTATGCACTTGTTACAGATCTAGTTATTTCAAAGGGAACCTTTAGTGCTGTGCCACTGCCACAATGAGAATAGTCTGAGTTTTGTTGGCAAGAGAATGGTGGCGCAGCAGGACTCTTTCACTGACACGGAAGCTCTGCAGTGTATTTTTGACATGTCTCCTTTTAGAATGCGCAAGGAAGGGATTTTATTCATTCTATAATTGGTAAAGGAAACTCTCCAAGCAAAAGTCACGATTTTTAGTGTGTTTTATAATTTGAAGAAAAATGTCTTCAAATGGAACAATGCCAGTAAAAAGATAAAATGTAGGCTTTACTCTGAAGGAACACGTATTTCAGTCTGGTAAGTCACAGTTTGCTTCAGTTCAAGAATGAGAAGAATCCGTCGCACTTAGTTGACTTTGTTGTTGTTTTTTTGTTTTGTTTTTCATTTTTCAAGACAGGATTTCTCTGTGTAACAGTTCTGGCTGTCCTGCAACTTACTTTGTAGATCAGGCTGGCCTCGATTTCAGAGAGACCCACCTGCCTCTGCCTCACAAGTGCTTGGATTATAGGTGTGCACCACAACCGCCCGGCTAGTTGACAGTTTTGTGATGGACAGTTATAAACAATTTACATCAGGTGGCAAGTGTGACTCGGATCCGTGGCTCTTCAGTAAATCAGACACCACTGCACTAGATGTCTAGCATGTTCAAATGTTTTATTTTTAGGAAGTCTTGAAATAGATTGAACCACTAATGCTTGTAACCATAGCAATATCAAGAAAGCTATGTCTAATAAATACACAAGTACAGTGTCAGTACAAACATTGCAAAATAAATAAATCTACTTTAAACATCAACTTAGTCTGCTTTTGCTTTTTAAAAATGATTAGTCTTTTTAAGACGTCACAACTCAGTAGATAATTAATTGTACATCATTCTGAATTCATTTTGTGAGAACTGAAATTGGAACAATCTGTGGGCAAATGAATAATAGCTTTTGAAAAAAAGAACGTTTCTATTTGCAAAACGGCAGCCTAAAGAGTGCACCTTGGTACACAATATAGGAACTAATTTGAATAATTGTTAACAAACCTCACAGGACATATTTACATTTCCAATGCCCTAGACTTGCACTTCTCATTAAACCTATGACCAGTTCTCGGGGTTTTCCAATCTCTGTGCCTCTGGTTCCCAGTTCTCCATGTTGGGTCAGCCAGCTGGTCCTTGGGCCAAATGTGCTTTTGTATGACCCTTAATCTTAAGAATAGCTTTTGCAATTTTAAGTGGTTGGAACACTTGAAAGATTTGTGATATGTGAAAATGATATGAAATTCCAATTCATGTGTCCATAAATAAAACTTTATTGTTCAGTCATGTTCATTCTTGTACCTGTTGTCGGGAGCTGCCTTTGCACTCCTGTGGCAGAACTGAGTTGAAGCCAACCGAAGCCGTGTGGCCCTGACCCTAAAATGTGTACCGCCTGTCCCTTTACAGATGACGCTGGTTGCCTTAAGCCTGGGCCTGGCTTTTTCACCTGTAACATCTGTGCAACGCCCTGGGTGTCCTGGCTTCATTCCTCAGGAAGTCGGTTGGCAGCCCTGTACCACTCTGCTTGTCCTCCGCGTGTTCCTCACATCAGGTGTGAAGAGGGCAGGAGTTGAGAAACCATCAGTTTCTGGTTTCCATGTGATGAAAGTAAAGTATGCTTTCTCCACCATGTTCATTCTTCAGAGCTTCTCACCAAGGATCTTCACCTGTAACATCCACAGGAGCTTATTAGTGGGTTGAATACAAAGAAGTACAATATTTACAGCCTACCCAGGTTCAGTTGTTCAACTACAGAAGCCCACAACTCTTATGGCTAGTTTTGAAAGAATCACTTTCTACAGTGCAGTGTGAAAACATGGTGCCCATCGAAGGTAGAACAATGTTATTTCTGTTGTGGCACACCACATTCTTTTTTCTTTTTTAGACTTTATTGTTAATTGAGCTATACGTTTTTTCCCACTCCCCTTCTTTCCTCCCCTCTCCCTTTCCACACTCTCAATTTACTCAGCAGATCTTGTCTTTTAGACAAAAAGCAAAGAATAACCAGCCTACAGTCCACAACCCCAGAGTACCTAGACAACAAAGAAGAGGAAAGAGAAAAAGACAAGATTTTTTTTTTAATGATTTATTTTTATTTTGTGTACATTGGTGTTTTGCCTGCATGTGTATCTGTGTGGGGGCGTTGGAACCCCTGGAATTGGAGCTATAGGCAGTTGTGAGCTTCCACATGGGTGCTAGGAATTGAACCTGGGTCTTCTGGAAGAGCTTTTGACCTCTGAGCCATCTTTCCAGCCCCAGGAATACCACATTCTTTAGGAAAAAAACAAACTTGGTTTTTCGAGACAGGGTTTCTCTGTAGCTTTGGAGCCTGTCCTGGAGCTAGCTAGCTCCTGTAGACCAGGCTGGCCTTGAACTCACAGAGATCTGCCGACCTCTGCCTCCCGAGTGCTGGGATTAAAAGTGTGCACCACTACCACCTGGTAGTGGTAAACAAAAACACTTTATTACATCAAATAAATGTTCCTCAACTTTAGGAAAAGGAGAAATCCCTTCAACTGTTACTACTTCAGGTAGGAATAAGGTGAACATTTGCTTCTTTAGAAATTCTTAGGTTATTATTATTGAAACTTTAGATGTTACCATTTAGAACAAATAATATGACATGGCAGTCAGGCTAACACATTGTCCTTGTTTATTTCTGAGAATACAGAGAGAACTTCATAAAAAATACATGCTTGTTCTTGGAAATACCTTGATAAAAGAGGTCATAAGTGGACATAGTTGTGCCAGTGTCTAGTTTTAAGTAAAAGCACCAATGTTTAACAAAACTGAAGTCATTTTAATACATCAAAAAAATCACTTGCCAAGGGAAATGGAATCCAAAGACAATCATCTAAGTCACTGTCCCTTAGCAAGGCCACACCTCCCAATCCTTCCCAAGACAGTTCCACCAACTCGGGACCAAGCATTCAGATATATGAGCTTATGGAGATCATTCTCATTCAAGCTGCCACAGCCAGTCTGGGCAGCCTACAACCAAAGGAACAGTGGAAAGAAGGCTTGTGTGCTTGATTTCCTCATATCCTTTTCCATATTCCAGATCATTCATCTGCTGAGACTGACTTTGTGTGTGAATATTCAGCCATGGGGTTAGAAGCTGACACTGCATTTTCAGGATGGAGACTGTAGTTATTTTTCTTTTGCTTTGCTTTTTAAACACAGGGTGTCACTGTGATCTCTAAGTAGCCCAGGCTGACCTTGAGTTTGTGATCCTCCTTAGCCTTCCAAATGTTGAGGTTACAGGCAGGTGCTATCACACCTGGCACATTTTAATTTACTATTATTTTTCTTAGAGGCAGAAAGAGATGTGACTGTTGAATGTAAATGAAACAAATACAGCACTAGGAATCCCAAGGAATAAACACTTATCTATAGAGCTCTTAAAAAGTGTTCATGTGTGTTATTAATAATTAAGACTGTCCTATATATGATGACTTAAGTCTGTTTAGCACTTTGGGCAAGTTGGTTGCCTTCTTGGGGCCTTTGGTTAGTTGTTTACAGAATAAATTAAAAAAAATCGTGTGTGTAAACGCAAGGGCTTGTACATGCCATGGTGTGTATGTGGAGGCAGTCAAAGGATACTTGTGGGAGTCAGTTCTCTCCTTCCACCATATGAGTCCGACAAATTCAGTTCAGCTCACCAGGCCTGGCAGCAAACACCTTTCATCACTGAGCCACCTCTCTGGCCCAGGAAGTCTAAGGTTTTAAGAGGGTGCATATAATTTCAGAGCTCAGGTACCATGTTGAGGTACCGTTCCCACCTGTCTTCACAGAACAAGCCCCTTGAAAAGACACGAGGCTCCTATCCTGTGTTACAAAGTACTTTCTGTTGAGTCTTGTTTCAAACTGCTACAGTACCTTAATATATCTGGGTCAAACACGCTGCCCTCTGTCACTGCTGGTAACCCACTGCGTCACTGGGGGACAAGGCACCCACAGGTTTCTCCTCCTTGACTTGGACACTTTCTGCGGCCACAAGCTGAGGAGGCGAGGTGAGTCCTCGAGGCTGCTTAGTGGACTTAGTGAGTTTCTTGAGTTCACTTGCAAAGGAGATGCCCCTCCTTTTATCTTCTCGGGATGCCTACATAGAAAAAAAGAAAGCCTTTGATGGAAAGGTAATCCAGGCTCCTGAGTCCCATGGCATTCTCAAAGAGGAAGTATGTATTCCTTTGTACTTCTCTGGCAAGTAAAGCTTTGGGCAGACAGGCCAAAGGCCTCTATCCCAGGATCTTTTAACCACACGAGAACGTGATGTTTTGTCTTTTCTCCGCACAGAGTGAGGACAAAATATTGCCTTCCAACTCCTCGACTTAGGAACTTTCTGGAGATTTCACCAGTTCCCAAACTGAATTGATATGATGCAGCTGACCATCAAGGATTTATAAAAACAGCAAAGTAACTTTCATATTACCTGAACCTGCTCCTTTAGCTTAAGGATGAATTTCCCTGCACCTTTCCACTTGCTTTGGGCTTGAAACACACACTCTTGGTCCAAAAGGATCCTCTGTGAGGACTTTGGGGCAGAAGACTTCTTATTGGGTGCATCTTTCATCACCTCTTCCAAAAGCACATAGTCGCCTGGGTTGGGGTTGTTCAGGATGCTGTAGGAATATTTGGCTTTGCATAACGTCTGAAAGAGAAGTTAGGGTCAGCTTAGTCAAGCGTCTCCCACGTTTGCATCCCTCCTGAGTGAAATTTTAAGGTGGCAAAGTGGCTCAGACTCTGAGCGATGGGAAAGATCTTCCAAATCTGGTCCCCCAGGGCCTCGCTTTCATTTGAGTCGTTATTGGCTTATCACATTCGTCAGACTACCATGTTCTGCTTCCAAATGCTCTGTCTGACTTACACAGTGGTGTCAGAGCGCCTGGAATGGGCCTGTGAAGTCAGACAACAGGAAAGAATCTGAGCCTCCCCCTCCCCCGCCACACACACACACACCTGCCAAAAGAAGTTTGTCAACACACTGTGTAAGTCAGACAGATCTGAGTGAGATCTGGAGTCTGAGTGAGTAAGGGATAGAGCTGGAATTGAACCCTCAGCCGTGTGATCGGGGGTCTGTGCTGTTTACCATGTGATCTCACTTCTCAAGCAGGGGTTCAATGAATGCAAACCTTGAGGCCATGAGGAACAGTTCTCTGAAATCATGTTTTAAAAACAGCCTGACCTAGAGGAAAGGATTTGGTCAACAGTCAGAGCTGGCCTCCTTCTTGTGTGTTCTGTGGCATCCTTCAGAGATGGTCATTCAGTATTTACTCAGCTGTTTCTGGGGTAATTTCTGCAATGTCACCTCCTAAACTCATTATCAGCAGAGATCCAAGCTCACTGTAGATGCTAGCTCAATATCTGTCGCACACTGAGCAGTTATTTCCCATCCTTAAGAGACATAGTTCCCTATCCAGCTCCCCCATTGCAGAGCTTCATTCACAGATGAACCATCAGTACACACATCTGGTTTGTCCCAGTCATTTATATCAATAGGGCATGGAGTGAGGAAAGGAGAGACTCCTTGTGGTGCTGCATTCAAGTCCAGAGCCCTGTGCCTGCCAGGCCGGAAGCCCAGAACCCCCGTGCCTACCAGGCAGAGAGTATCTCCGAACTGCATCCTGGTCCCCAAGGAGACTTTTACCTGCTGAATGACATCCTGTGCAGTGCTGACCCGGGGGGCTTTGATGACAGTTCGGGGTTGCTCTGGAGAGACATCATGAACTTGGACAAAGAAACTCTCCTCTTCCGAGCTCAAGACCACCTCTTTGTCATCTTGGGCAATGCTTTTCTCTTCTAGGGTCTGTATATTTTTTTTAATGGAAAACATATGAGTAATTGGTAAGATGATTCAGAAGACAAAAAACTTCTAGCAGAAAAGTTGAGTTATATCTTGGTATTGTGAAAAACATCACCTTAGTTGGATAGTTCATGCATTAGCTAGTAGTTCATACACTAATCTAAAAAGATGTACCTGCTTCTGAGGGGAAGAAAGGCTTGATACTGACACACACATAGAATAAACCAGTTTATAAGTGTCTATTAGTTGTGGATTTTGAGAGACCAAATCAATTACAAACTTGTAGAAAGAAAATATACTGAAAGCCCAGTAAGAACACAGTAAGCACCATTGAAGGGAAGTTTATTCCCCAAACATCATTAACATTTAAGGAATATTAGACACGGAGCTGGTGAGATGGCTCAGTGGGTAAAGGTGCCTGGTATGCAAGCCCGATGACGTGTGTCCAGTCTGTGGACTGCGTGTAAATGTGGAAGGTGAAAACCAAATGCACAACGTTTTCCTCTGATCTCCACCCACGTCCTGTGGTGCACATACCCTTTCCCCCTCCTACTCCCCCCCCCCTCATTTCAAGGTACAAAAGAGAAATACTAGACATGGGACAGGAAACATGGCATACCCACCCAGGTGGGGTAAGCAAAGCCCACAGTGAGAAGGCCAAACTATGGCTGCAGGTAAGCCACACTTCAGCGGATAGAATTCCCAACACTATGAGAAGTATTATCAGGCTAATTGGATTTGGGTAAATTTTAGTGAAATCCAATTTCCCTCTTTCCTGTATGCATCATCTTTACAAAAGGATTCTTTATTTAATTTATGTGTGTGTGCCTGCATGTATGTATGTATGTATGTGCACTACACGAGTGCAGGAACCTTTGGAGGTCAGAAGAAAGTGTTGGAGCCCCTGGACCTGGTGTTACAGGTGGTTATGAACCACCATGAGGGCAGTGAGTAGGAGCTAAGCCTGAATCCTCTTCAGTAACAGTTCCGGCTTTTTACTGCTGAGCCATCTCTCTAGTTCCCTATTTTCGTTTTATTAAAAAATTCAAGTGGACTGGAAAAATAGCTCAGCAGTTAAGAGTACCGGCTGCTCTTCCAGAGGACCAGGGCTTGATTCTCAGTACCCACATGATGGCTCACGGCCATTAGTAGCTCCATTTCCAAGAAATATACAGTGATGTCTTCTGGTCTTCATAGGCACTAGACATGTATTTGGTAAATAGATGCATGTGTATGCAAAACAATTAAATGCATAAAAAACTTTTCCCAACAGTCAAAATGATAAACCCTTTCCTATTCTCTCCTTTTCTTTTTATATCACCTCATTTTCATGAACAAACAAATGAGCAAAGAAGTCTGTCAACAAAATCTCACTGTTGTTAGGTGGTGTACCCCTGTGAACATCTGCCATGGATACATAAGTGCATCTTCCAGCGTGTGAATAGACAGACACAAAATCCTGGAATTGTGTGAATAGGGTTGTGATTATCTATCTATCTATCTATCTATCTATCTATCTATCTATCTATCTATTATCATCTATCTATCTATCTACCTATCTATCTCTTCCTCCATTTATCAGCCCCCCCCCCTTTTGAGACAGAGTCTCTTTGTGTAGCGCTGGCTGTCCTGGAACTCACTCTGTAGACCAGGCTAGCCTTGAACTCAGAGATCCTCCTGCCTTTGCCCCCCAAGTGCTGGAATTAAAGGTGTGCACCATCACTGCCTGGCTGCCCCATTTTCAAATGACAACAGTTTAAAATCATAGTCTACAAGAGAGTGGAGAAAAGAGAGACGGAGAAAGTAGTAGGCAACCCTATCAGATGTCAAGACTTCATGTAGAAAATTCTATTCCCAGCATTCTTGTAGCCTGATCGCCACAGACAGACTACAGAGATCATGCTAATTAGCCAGAAGAATTCAAGGTTTGCTGTCACTGGCCTGTGAGTTTCTGCTGGTCCCATCACCCAGAGGATTGCTCCCATTGATACTGGGAAACCACCACCAGGTGGTGCCAAACTGACCGAGCCTGGCAAGGATCTGCCCCAGCCTCTTCAAGAACCCTGAAGTCACAACCCCACAGCTTACATGACCCGAGTTTGCGACTTTGCTCAACCCAACAGTGGAGGTGGAGCAGTGAAGGTATTGTCTACTTCGATTACAAAAAACATGATTGTTCCTCACCATTCTACATGTTTTCCCCCAATTATAGTTCTTGTCACATAATGGGATGTCGTTACATTTATTGTTTTATATTCAAACAATCCAGAAGTGATATTGGGGGCAGTTCACACGACAGAACTTATGATCTAGCCTTCTCCAAAGCAGGAAGAAGCAGAGAGGGTGTGTGGCTGAGGAGAGAGTCAGTAAAGAGCATGCTGAACCTAAGCTCCAGGACATATGTAGGAAAGCCAGGTTGGTGGCACATGCTGGTTGTCCCAGCACCAGGAGGCAGAGAAAGGCTGAGCCTGGGTTTTCCCGGGCTGTCAACATAGCCTGCTTGGTGAGATCCAAGTCCTGTGAGAGACCTGTCTCAAAGAAAACAAGGTGGATGACTTCTGAAGAGCGCGTGTGGTGGTTCTCTGGCCTCCACATGTACAACTATACATATGAACACACACACACACACACACACACAGAGAGAGAGAGAGAGAGAGAGAGAGAGAGAGGAAAATTCTAAGTTGCTTCATAAGATCAGCAAGAATGCATATTTTGCTAGGTGTGGTGGTGCGCACACCTCTAACCCTAGCATTAGGAAGGCAGAGACAGGTGACTCTCTGTGAGTTCAAGGCCAGTCTGGTCTACCTAGCAAAGTCTACATAGCTAGTCAGGGCTACATAGTGAGACACTGTCTCAAGAAAAAATTATGGTTTTTTTTTTTTGTTAATTTTCCTGTGTGTGTGTGTGTGTGTGTGTGTGTGTGTGTGTGTGTGTGTGTGTTTGTGTTTGGGGGCCAGAGGTCAACATTAGGCATCCTCCTCTCACTGAACCTGGAGCCTGAGGTTTCTGCACAGCTGACTGGTCAGACAGCTCTCAGGATCTGCTTGTCTCAGCACCGCCATGATGGGTTACAGACACACCACTGTACTTGGTACTTTTATGGGTGAATCGAACTCGGGTTCTCTGTAGAGCAATATGTGACTTAACTGCTGAGCCATCTCTCTAGCCCTTTATTTATTTTTGAGACAGGTTCATAAAGATGAGGTTAACCTCAAATTTTCGATGTGGCTGAGGCTGACCATATCCTTCTGCCTTCATAGCCCAAGTGCCGGAATACAATACACCAAGCTCTTTTATCTTAAAATTAATTTTTAGGCTTAGTTCATAAAGTTCCTGCCTCTGCCTCCTGAGTGCTGGAATTAAACAGATGTACCATCATGCACACAAGAGTTCATTTATTTTTAAAGGTGTTTTCTGCCATAGGTGGTGAATAGAGAATGATAACAGTGGCCTCAGTGAAACACGTTTTAACTAAGCATTCCCTACATACTGTACACATGTGCACCTTATGATCACTTGGAGAGGATAGCGTGCTGTCATTTCCAGATTTTACAGGCCAGGTTAGCAAGTCACAGAAGTTAGGCGATGTGAATGCAGTCAGAGGATACACTGCCTAGAACATCAGAAGAGTGTAAGAGGCAGGGAGAAGAACGGAGAGGTTACCAATAGAACTTGGAAACATTTTGTTTTTTTTTTTGAGACTGGGTCTCTACATAGCCCTGGCTGTCCTGAAACTCACAAAGCAGACTAGGTTGACTTTGGATTCACAGAGATCTGTCTGTCTCTACTCAAGAGTGTCTACTGGGATTAAAGGTGTGCACCACCAGGCCCAGTGGGAACTTTTAAAAGGCTGCACAGACAAACGGCTTATAGAGATGATTAGTTTTACCCTAGAAAATAAATGTAAATCTTTGTAGTGATGATAGTGCCCTCTAGCTTTAAATAATTAATGAAATATTAAGTATAAGGATCAGTAGATACTGAAACACAGCACCCTTGTGTAAGGGAGGTATTTGCTCTAGTGTTATGTATCACCTCTGGCCCTAATAAATATGAGGCATCACTGCACCAGGCAAACCTAAATCATCAAATATGACTCGTTTTCCTTTGACATATATTTCAGTCATAAAAACCTCCTCTCCACAAAGGTATGTGGAGGGGAAATACTGTAGTCTACTAACCAGGAAAAGCTTGAGAATTCCCTTGTGATTTACCTCCCCTCTTCTTCAGACTGCTTCTCTCCCAGCGAGTTTTATTAAGCATCCATTCTGGAAGGCTTTACTGCCCGCTGACACATACACTTAGACTACCCACTGGCATCATAAACTCCCCAGTCTTTCTACCTACATAACGAAGTCCATGCGGACTGCCCCTTGTTGCCTCCCATAGCACAGGTCTGGGTGTGGATAATCCTCAGGGGCTGAGGGCAGAATTCCTGCCTTGGCAGCAGAGGATGGCAGAAAGAACATCAAATCATAGCCACAAGGCTCCTTCTTTCTGTCATGACCTCACCATTGTTTTAACGTCTCCGAATCTTAGTTTCCTTTTGCCCAAAATGATTCCTATTACATCACGAGGACACTGAAAACGGGTGTCTGAGCCCATTCAATTCTCTGAAGTTTTTACTTATTTTCTGAAACTGCCACTTAGCGACTACTTTTTTTTTATAGGTAGCTAATTAATGAAGTGAGACCTTTATAAGCAGAAAAGACTTAGGGAGAAATTAAAGATGGCTTCAAAAGTCTACCTGAGCCGTCTGATGTTTTCCATAAAGCACTGTGAGCTTAGTCTCTGCCTTCACAGACCTGATGGAAAAAGTGAGGAAGATGACCATGTTTCTTTGTTTAAGGTATGACCTTTTATGGTTGGAGGCAAGATTGGAGAAGGAAAGCGGTGTCTCTGAGCCCAGAGAGAAGCTGTGTTCTGTCTGGCTAACTGGCCATGCTTGCAGTGGCTAAATAGAAAGTGAAAATGGAAGACCTGGTAAGGAGAGCTAGCTCGCCTTCCCATCACACACGTGCTTCTGATGGGCATCCAATGAGCCAAAGCCCTGTTACACACTAAAGACCCTTGACTGGGGGCCCAGAACAGGGTCACGTACACATTGGATGCTTAACAAATATACGTTTAATTAAACTGTTGAACCAACTCAACTGCTCATCACTTGACTTGTCACGAGGCCTGATGGTATAGGCTGGAGCAATGGCTTTATATCCCACTATAGAAGGGGATAGTAAGGGAGTGGGCACTGCCTAGGTTGTTCTGTGATTGTCTACAGACAATCTCAAGCAAGGGTCAACGGGTTAGGAGTCAATATGAAAGTTGCTGCTTACTTTCCTTTCATGGGGACAACCACAGGGTATCAACACATATAAACTTGTACTAATTCTGACTAAGTGTGAGAGGTGATCTAGTTTGTATGACCTGTGGACGATTTTAAAGACACAATGAGCGAATGTAGAGGCCAGACCCTTTCAGATGTTGATGATCCCTCATCTGAGAAACTTGGGACCCAATGGGCTTCAGATTTTGTCATCTTTCAGATCTGGGAATCTTCGCTCAGACTGTACAAGCTGGATATGCCAGGCTAGGCAAGAGCTTTATCAGACACTGAGAAGAGAGCCAGCAGCTCCTGTGCTAGGCAGTGTGGCGGCTCCCCTCACCTGAGGCTTTGCTTTCTATGGTTCAAAAAATATTAAGTGGAAAATGACACCAATAAATAATTCATAAGTTTTAAATTATATGAGTGGAATAACAATATTTCTTGCTGTTTTTTCTGTCCTGGGAGGTGGGGGTGGTGTAGACGCGAACATGACTCACCGGTGTCCATCACATCCCTATCGGACTATCTGCCCACCAATCTTCACTATCTTGGTAATCAGATCAACTGTCATGACATCATCATATGTGGATACCAGTGACTGGTTCTATCTGATGTTTCAGGCACCTATAGGGGAGGGCAACCTAGGCCATTTCCATGGGGCTGCTGGTTTAAAGCAACCCTTATAGCAACAGCTACACACTTAGAAACACAGCACTGTTTTTCTCATAGCGGTCCCTATGAAGGAACCCTGCTTCCTTCGTTTTACAAAGGATGTTGCTTTTAGACTGAGTGTCTTTAGTTAGCTATCTGACTATGGGCAAGAAATTAAAACCATTTTTTCCATGTTTACTTGAGAAGAATAATCTGAATCGGGTTTCAAAGACAAGTCATTCAGGATCTGAGGGAGGTATTCGGTGGCTGATGGCTGATGACACACTGAGCGGTCGTCATGTAGACTGTGTCCGGGTGGTACTTACTTCTTGTTGGGTCTTTAAGACGATCCTGCCTACGTAGCCTTCTTCTGGGAACCAGCTGTTTAAAATCTGCACGATGTCTTCTTCTGGACCCACAGCTCTCTGGAATGGTTGTTTCTTGCACTCATTCTTCTCCTTAGAGATAAAATGCTTCTCTTCCATCAGAAAACAGTCTGTGGCGGTGAGTCTGGTGTCTTGGTCTATCACCAGAATCTAAAGGAGAAGCAAGGGCAGCGTTAGGCACATCTCTGAAGAGTGGCACACCCTCAACATGAGGCTGTTTTCCTAAGGTTCTGACAGGTTTGCTGGGCAGTTTATAAGCGAAGCCTACTTGGGAGTGAGCCGCAATTCTTTCTAGAGCTGTAATAATTCTTATATGTCCCAAATGGATGGTTTAATGCTCACTCTGGGCAAAGGCACAATTTATTTATAAACCCCATACAACATAACTATTTATCCACTGCTGGAATGAGAGAGTCTATTGAACTAAAACCTCAGGCTTCTTACTCCATAAACTTGGTTCTTTGAAACCTTGCAACAAAGGACTGATGTAAAGAACCCTGTGCAGTCTGCAAACATCATCTCTTTTTCTCACTGTGAAAATAACCATTCTGCCATGGAAGGCTCCCAAGGCTAAGGTCTCGTCTGGTAATTCTTTTGGGAGATTCCTGACACTGTGTCCAAAGAGTTGTTTCTCTGTGGACTCTGGCCTGCACAATCTGATGGAGTGGTTAAGAGAGATTTGAAGTCAGTTAGTCCTGGGTCTCAGACTTATTTGTTTCGAGTGGAGGACATCTCAGTGGTAGAGTGGGAGAGCTTAGCATGCATGAGGGTGTTAGGATTTACTGTCTTTGGAGTGTTGGAAAGAGAATTGGTCTTCTCATCTATAAAAATGGGATGCCCACAGTAACAATCTATTCTTTGGACTTAAGATGGAGGCTTTGAGTGCCAGTAAGACACTATGAGCACTCAATGAGTGCTAGCCATCATCAGAGTCTTACTGATGTTGTCTTTCTCACCCCTGTCATATAGATTGCTGATGAAGTGCCAGTGATAATAAAGACATCTTCTTTGTTCCCTTCCCATGAGAGGTGGCTGCATGGTGGGCGCCAGCTGCCACCACCTAGCACGGATTAAGCAAACACCCATCTCTCCAGGTTCCTCAATGATGAAATGGCCATAGTTAATATTTCTCACTTACAGGGGAAGCACAATATAAGGTGCTAAGGATGGTAGGAGCATAAAATTCTCAAGATTCTTATCCTTCTGCTTGAGCCCTTGTCCTAAAGCCGCATGCTAGTAATTCCATGGGGGCAAAGGCAAACAATTTGGATCATGCGCACATATGCTTCTATAAGAAGGAATCAGGGTGGGGAGTTTCCAAAGGTTCTGTTGGTACTGTCATCTCCTCAAGAAACTCAACACCTGTTTCTCTCAGCACTGAGGACTCATTTGTTTATTTGCATGGGGGTGAAAATATGGTTCTGCTTTCATTAGTGACTGTGGGAAGTTCCCTTGATTTTACAGACTCTTAGTAGTGATTTAACACTGAACCTTATGGATGAATTGACTAAAAAGCCATCAAAACACCAAATCTTTGGCAGTAGTTTCTATTTGATTGTCTATAAAATTTGGACCTTAAAGTTGTTTACTGTGATGCTACTTAAGTCAGTTATAAAATGTTGGGCAAAGAGATGGGCCCGTAAATGTTAGAGATAATTAATATTAATAATATAATAATACTGATATTTATGCATCACTGCTCAAATGTTTTTAATTCTGCCATGCATCATATGGTTCCCGCTACGTTTCACCATATACACCGACTTTGGAGGAATGCCCAGGGTTCTCCTCTTGGTCAGTGCTCTCCTTGGTCTACCCTCAAGGAGAAGTAGTTCTAAAACGGGCTAACGATGAAAGAGTGTGTGAGAAGTCAGGTCACTGAATCATAGGGATTCTCCTAAGGTTGAGCTAGCTTGTCTAGTGGTACCAAGAACCCTGATACTATTCTTAAGACTTCAAACAATCCAAAGAAATGTCAGCAAAGCCAAGAGGACTGTAAATTTAAGGTCAGACTGGGAGAGTCCTGTCTCAAAATTAAACTAAAAGTTCTGTGGTTGTAGCTCAGTGGTAGGGCACTTGCCTAGCATGTTCAAGGCTGTAGGTTCAAGCCCTACCATGTAAAGATAAACAGACTATAGATAAAGAAATAAAGGACGTATCATCAACATGGACTTTCACGGATTTATGTGAATACATATATGCTTATATAGTTGCACACACACATACATTTTGGAGACTGAGAATTTCTTTAACCATGGGTTCAGTGGACTTGCCTGTTGGAGAAGCTGCTTTGCCTTGGTGCCTCCATTTATAGTGAAAACAACAAAGGGCTCTGGACCTGGAACACCATGCACGGTGACTCTGTGAGTCTGAGAACATTTCCTCTCTTCAGAATTAAACATCTGTCAATGAAGAGCACATGGTTTTCCCGTGCATCCTCGATAACACAGAAGTTCTAGGCTCTATTCAACACAAAATTTCTAGGACCCGCGTGTAACCTGATGCATGCTGATGCGGCGATCTCCTCACCAGCCATGAGGAAATCCGGTCATCAGAGTGCTAACTTCCTGAAATGACAGCTTCTTTCCAGCACGAGTGGGGATTTCTATCCTATGAAACGTGCGCTGGTTTTCACTTTTTAAAAGCTCCTTGGGTGACACAAACGTGAGCCAAGGTTTTTACAGCATGATGCAAGAAAAAGGAGAAAGGAAGGTGACCCAAGAAAGTAAGGGCAGGGACACACAGAGAGAAGAAATCGGCAGAGGCAAGGAAGAGAGAGGCCAGAGGAGAAAGCAGGACTATAGAAGGTGAAGGTGGTCCAAGAAAGGGCCTGAGCCTGTGCGCACAGACAGAGGGAAAGTGAACACACTGTCACATATGCTTTGAATTTACAGAGGAAGAAAAATAGGATTAACCAGTACATTAGAGCAGTGTTCCTTGTTTAAATAAACTACCCTAGTTTAGGGGGTGAACCCTGGTCCAGTGGCTTGTACACATCACTGGATGTGGAGTCTTAACCAGTGAGTTAGTGTGTATGTAGCCACCAAGTGTCAGCCATTTTTGTTATCATTTTCATAGCTGCTTAATTAACGACTCATTGGCCCCTCTGTTGTACCTCGAGAGAGTCCATCTTCAGTGTGGCAGTCCTGTAGATATATGTTGGGTGAAATAAGAACTTAATTACCAAAGAGGCTGGCATGCTGCTGCCAGAGGTATTTTCTTCCATCCTTCTGCTGTTTATGAACAAGCTAGAGATTTCCAATATTTCATTGTGGAGGTTCCGCAGCTGAAGATGTCGATAACCTGGAATGATGCAGAATTGGGAAAAGCCGGGTAAGCGAGCACAGCTGAGCTCTACAGATGGACAGATCTCCACAGACATCAGTTCACTCCCAGAATGGGCAGTGGATGGTAACAGGCATCCAGCAGAAACCTCTCACTGTAAGAGAGCTGTCCCCTGGGGGATGTTCCTGGACTGTCAATTAACAGTTAACTTCTCCAGTACTCTTACTAACTTAGACTCAAATAGGCAATCATTAAACTCAAACAACAAAGAAATAGAGAATCCTGATGATTTTGACATCAAAGCAGCTACTATCTCTGCTTTACTAAAGGTCAATATCCACTTTAGAAAATCTTTCATCACAAAATATTTTAATAGCAAGAGATTGTATATAAATATAAAATGCAACAATATGCAGACAGTAAAATGGTACTGTAGCTGTATGATTATTAATATAGGAAGGTGCTCACTATACACACTAAAAATAGAAAACCAGGAAATCTTAAAACATTAGGATTAGGAGGAAGTCTGTTTGCTAATCGTGTATCTCATTGCCATATACATGGGCAGAGAAATAAAGCTTGCGATAGATGCTTATCTAAAGTGATGAGGCTGGGGAATGGCAGGATAGATACTCTTTAAACAACTGATTTGTGCTTCTCTGTCCTTTCTCACACTTCTCTAGTAATTGTAATGACTTGAATTATGGACCCCTAGTGGGAGCCATGGGACTTCTTTGGGGAACAATGCCTGAGAATAGCACTATCATCTCTCGCTGGGGCAAGACCACCGCCTGGCTCTACCTCGTTTTAAAGCTTTGAGTGGAATGATTCTCTGAGCTGTTATTGCCGAACTGTTGTTTTCCACAACTGCAAAACGAAGAAACACAAGATCTTCAAAGTGAACCCGGAAGAGAAACTGTTCGTTCCACATGGGGTTAAGAGTGTTTCGATGGATGGGCTTTGTGCGGAAATGGCAGCTGTCCAACGGCATGCCCAAGACGTCAACCTCAATGCACGGACTTCCGGTGCTGTTACTGGGGCACACATTTTGGCCAGAGATGATCTGAAGGGGACGATAAAGGATCAAGGTCACAGAGACGGAAGAGAAGCACAGAAGCCGCTAGTTCTCTTAGTCCACAGAGAATGCTGCAGTGGATATGGTGAGTGATTAGCAAAAAAATCCTTAAACAAACACAAGTGATTGTCATCAGGTAATCATGAGGCTAGAATGCTTGAAAATCCTACTGTGCTTATAACATTCACCTGAACTGAACCTCTCGATGGACAAAGTTTGAAATATGATAAAAAAAGAAACACTGACATGAAATGACATTTCTTAGATGTCAAGAGGAAAGAAGACCTATTCCATGTAAACAGGAGTTTGCCATTTATTTTCTATTTTAAAAGCTGCAGAAATACATTTTACAACTACAAAATCTTCATCAATAGATTTGGAGCAAGTCATGGAATACTGCTAACAAAAATTAATTCATCACTGAATGAAAAAAGACAGATAAAATGGGTATACTCTAAGTTTGGGTGTGAGGAGAAGTTTTATTGTAGATGTGAGGTAGAGTACAGTCAGAGGCATCAGGAATGGTTCAGACTGAACATGGCTGGCAGATTGAACTGGGCCATGTCATGAGAGGGGCAGGGGACAGGGGAAAGCCAGAAGCCAAGAGCCAGGAAAGTGGAAACCAAGAGAGGCAGCCAAGAGGCAAAAAGGACAAAAGGACTGAGTAGCCAAAATAGCTAGGTTATACAGGAATCAGGGCAGCTGGGGATAGGGAAGCCCAGCCCTGGGCTGGGGAGTTTAGGATAGGGGACAGGGTAGACATCTCTGTAACAGGTACAGACCTTTGTTGCGAGAGGCTGGCAGACAGCTACCACTTTGCTGTTAATAGGCACCTTAGTTACCATTCTCCCGGGTTTCCATGAGACCTACGGTAGCCTTCGGTAGAAAGATAAACCAGCACTCTACCCTTGCTAAAATGGTCTAACACAAAACAGACAACTTATCTCCCAGCCGAGGGCAGGAGACAAAGCAAATTAGGTGATGGGAGAACGTGTGAGCAGAGTTATCGTAGGATTTGGAATGTCAGGAAGACACTTCCTTTGGGAAGTGAGAAATGAGATTTAAAGATGGAGAGAAGAAATGACCCCAGTCTCTTTCTCTCTCTTTCTCTCCCCCTATTTTTTTTTCCTGTTAGCTAAGAGGGAACAAATTAATGAGGAAGCAAAGGTGACTAATGAACTGCAGCCCTCTATTCTGAGGCAGCAATCTGGAGAGTTTCGCCAACCATTTGTGAGACAAAGCAGGAATCTAATAACTCCACCTGCTTGTCTCAGAAACAGAGTCTGTGACAGCATGCCAACCTCAGCCGCTGCTTTCTGAGAAAGAAGAAATTATTGTGGGAACCTGCATGATCTGAAACACAACCAGTTCATATTTCTCCCAGAGGTTTATGTGTTACATGGCTCTGGCAACAGGAGTACTCACAGTTAAAGAATAGATAGCAGGGTCCATGTTGTCTAGGTCTCTTTCCAGGGGAGAAAACTTCTGGTACATGGGACAACTTTTATCCCACAGGACAGGGGGCTTCAAAACGTAACCGCAGCCACCATTTGCCTCAAACATTGCAGCATTTAAAAGTAAAGGAAGATCTGCAGAACAAACAAAGCCAAGACTACACATTACTTCATGAAGAAGAGACAATTAGCCATTAGCTCTGGGCTGGCTAGTTTTTGTCAACTTGACACAGCTGGAGTTATTTGGGAAGAGGAATCTTAGCTGAGAAAAGGTCTCCATCAGATTGCCTGTAGGCAACTCTGTAGGCTATTTCCTTGATGACCGACATGGGAGGGCCCAGCCCATTGTGGATCATGCCACTCCTAGGCAGGTGGCCCTGAGTTGTTTAAGAAAGCTGACTGAGCGAGCCTTGAAAGGCAAGCCAATGAGCCGTGTTCCGATATTGCCTCTGCTTCACTTCTTGCCTTGAGTTCCTGTCCTGACTTCCCTTGGTGTGAAGGAGTGTGAACTGGGAGCTGTAAGCTGAAACATACCCTTTTATTCACCATGCTTTTGGTCATGGTATTTTAGTAACAGACACCCTGAGACACACCCCATAGCAACTGATGGTTGCTAACTATGTGCCAGCTTGTGTTAGCAGGCACAGAGCTACAGAGGAGCAGCAGGTAATAGAGATGATGATGACGGTGATGATGATGACGGTGATGATACCTCACCACCAACAGAAAAACCCTTTCCTCATAGTCAATGGAAATGTCCCATGTTCCAACACCAAGCTAGGGTCTGCCCCTTAAAAACTCCTTTTACAAGGAAAATATCATCACATTCATCAGACATCTTACGTAGAATACCTTATTTTATGCTGGTTTGGGACAAAAATCATTATTTTGGGAAAGAATCATTTTATTTTCTCATCTCTAAATACCAAACCATGCAGATAATTTTACGACAAATTCTTGCTATTTCAAAAGTAAGATAAAATCTTAATGATACAAGAAAGAAAAGGAAGAAAAACAGTATTTTGTTGAAATCGTAATTTCAGGCCATAATTCTTTTTAACCTCTCTTTATAGTTAAATATGAAAAAGTCGTGACATATGATTCACATCATGTCCGCAGTCTCCTCAATCATAAACTTTAGGAACCCTTGCAAAGACTTTGAGTGTTTTCTCGCCAGATTTTATTTGGCGCAGTTTTTGATGAATGACTGCACCGTTTCTGGACTCTTCCACACTCGCATGCTCATCTGACGCTCAGTCTGTATGAACGTGGCCCAAGTGAGCAAAGGGTTTATGGGATGCACCTGACAAATGTTCCCACTGGTGGATTCCTTCCATGTGCCAAATGAACTTTGCTTCATGAGCCAACATCAAGGAAAAGTGGACTAAGTGCGTTTGAACAACAAAGGCTTGGCCCCTACTCTTGTGTCTTGAGTATAAATTTTTTTCTACGCATCCGCATCTGAGGTTGGCCAAGAGCCTGTGCAGGAATTCCTGAAGAAGATGTACTAGGCACATCAAGCTCCCTGGGCCTTGGTCTCATCTGTTGAATTGGTGCAAAGCACGCATTTGTCCGGTTCCTTCCAGGGTTGATGTGACCGGACTTCAAGAGGCTGTGCTGTCCTTCCCCGGCCACTCTGTGACCAGGAAACAGACACAGCTAGGATGGCTGAGGGAGTGAGGCAAACGAGCTCACTTGAGGTGGTTAACTATGAAATGGATATTTACCCAATTTGGAAACACAGCATTCATAATCTCAAAATTCAAAATCGGATGCAACTTTATGAGCACCAATCTGACACCTCAGTGTAAAAATCCCTGTCTGATCTCATGATCGGGTGTAGTCAAACAGTCTCTGTCTGCATATATTCAAAAAATCTGAAAGGGGGACCCCCAAACCAAAAAAACTTCAAGCTCAAACACGTCTGGTCATAAGCATTTTAGATAAAGGATAATCAATTAGCATTCTTAACAACAGTAACAGTGGCTCAAACGTAACGATTTTAACTTCATTTAGGTTTGGAGCCAGACCTTCTTTTCACTGTGCCTAACTTAATCACTTTTATTTTATTTTATTTTACTTTTCAAGACAAGGTTTCTCTGTGTAAAAGCCCTGGATGTTCTAGAACTAGCTCTGTAAACCAGCACAGCCTGGGATTCACAGAGATCCTCCTGCCTCTGCCTCCTGAGTGCTGGGATCAAAGGTATATGCCACTGCTGCCTGGCTCTATTAGCTTTTTAAAACTTTTCTTTTTAAGACTGGGTTCCATTGTGTAGACCATGCTGGCCTAAAACTCACAGAGACTGGCCTGCTTCTGCCTCAGGGTGGCAGAATCCCAGAGACAGGGATCTGCCTGTCTCTAAGTGTGCTACTCCCAGCTTGTAAAACCTCTAAGGCACCTTTTTTTTTTTTTTTAAAAAAATTTTTTTTTTAAGCTAAAATCCCATTTGGTACTACAATATGTAAAACTGATTTCTGTGAATCTGCTCAGTTTGAAATGAAGAGGAGCTCAACTCAAATCTAGTCTTCTTCTTGTCTCCTGGGGGAGGCCTAGCGGTCATCTGCATTTTAACAACCTGTGTTTGTAACCAAATGCAAGAAAGTACATGAATCAGTTCATCCTGATTGGCCCATCTGAATCAATGACTGAGGGCAAATCAGATGTACCACTGCCTGCATGATCTCCTGGTCCTAAAAACACTGTGGTAGGCAGATGCCGCACTATGAAAACTGAGACTCTAATCCAATCAAGCATAATAAATGCCTTTTAGAAAGAAGCTGTTCTTCTGACTGAGGCTGCAATGCTTACATTCTTGTGGGATCTGTGTATGGAGCAGGATTCATTCTGGCCCAGAGGAGAGAACTAGGGTGGAGTGTTGCCAATGACAACCACAGCTTCACACACGAGCTTTATGTTTGCAGGCTCAGTGGTCACTTTTATTGAGCATGGACCTGCTGATCCCTCCTGACCTTCTTGGAGTTGACAGTGGGCTAGAAGCTTGAGAACAGAGGGTCCTAGTTTCATAGACACCCCTGGAAGGCACCAAGCTCCCCTGACTTCTACAAAATGGCAAAGTAAATGAGTCCAGTGAGATAAGGAAGCTGACGGGCACAGGAAGAGTCTAGGAAGACCAGGTGCTTCTTCACCTGGAAATTATTTTGAACAACTGAAAAGCGGTTGTTTTGATTTTGATGGCCTATCTGTCTGGATTCTCAAGTCACAGAGAAGGAAGTACCTGGAGGATGTCTTGTTAGCATTTGTATGAAATGTTCCCCAGAGGCTCGTATGTTGAAACACTTGCTCCTCAGCTGCCACCATTTGGAAAGGCTGTGGAACCTTTAGGAGGCAGAGCTTTGCTGGAAGAAGTTGGTCAATGGAGGAGGGGGGTGTTGAGCTTTTACAGCCTGGCTCCATTTCTTGTCCCTCCTCTGTTTCCTGATGGCAGACACACTGTGACTAGCTGGCCTCTGATTATCCCTCCATGCCTTCCCTGCTATGGTTAAATGTATATTCTCAAACTATAAGACAAAATAAACCTTTTGTGGTAGTTTGGATGTAATTGCTCCCATAAGCTCATAGGGAATGGGACTATTGGGAGCTGTAGCCTTGTTGGAGTAGGCGTAGCCTTTGAGGAAATGTATCATTGTGGGGGCAGGCTTTGAGGTTTCGTGTATGTTCAAGCTACACCTAGTTCAGATCACTTCCTGTTGCCCGCGGGTCAAGATATAGGAATCTCAACTCCTTCTCCAGTACCATGTCTGCCTGCACGCATGTTACCATACTTCTAGCCACCACGCTCCCTGCCATGAAGATAATGGACTAAACCTCTGAAACTGTAAGCTACCACCTCAATTAAATGTTTTCCTTTATATGAGTTGCCCTGGTTGTGGTGTCTCTTCACAGCAAAAGAAACCCTAAATAAGACACCTTTCTTTCCTTCTTTCTTTTGCTTTTTCTCTTTCTTCTTATAATTTATATACTTTTATTTTATGTACATTGGTATTTTGCCTGCACACATGCAGGCTGTGTGAGGGAGTCAGACAATATGAAACTGAAATTGCAGACAGGTGTGAGCTGCCAATTTTTTTCCTTTAAATTGTTTTATCAGGTATTTTTGTCACAGTGGGAATTAACTGAAGTGTCAACGTGAAAAGCAACAGATCTGGAAAAAAAAAAAAAAACAACCCAGACCCACAGGTTCAAATGCAGTGAGTGAGGTTGACCAGGACAGACTTCTTCAGCTCACAGCCACTCATATTTATTGATCATCTACTGTGTATAAAATGTTGAGAGAGACTTTAGTCCCAGTTGCACCAATGAAGGCCAGTCTTACAGAGGGACACATAGATGATGCATGTGGCTTGTGCCGTGTGCAACAGCAGTCCATGTGAACTGAACTGAGAGAGATTAGATGACAGCGCTCCTTCTGGGCTGCCAGGCTATGCAGAGACCCTTGCAGGTGGCCTCACAACAGTCATCTGCTTCCCTTGAGTGGGGCAGCTCCAACAGGTGCTCCCTGCTTGGTTTGGGGAGACTAGAGCCTGAGGAGGGGAGTGGAAGGCACTTGGGTTCAGTTGTGGTGGGCACTGTGGTGTGAGCTCAAGAGTGGCAGCTTCTTATACTCCCTTTAGCTAGGGTGCCCTTTGCCCTCACTGGAGCCAGCGTGTCTGCGCCAGTCCTGACTCCTCAGGAGCAGGGCGCACCCCAAGCCAAGCATTCGTACATTTCCTTAAGGAAACCATCCTGCTAGCCATTTCAGTGCATGTAAAAACTTAAGGAGCGTAATAGCCCAGGAAGCCTTGGACACAGGGCTACAGACAGAGCTAAGGAGCTGAAGCTCAGGCCACTAGTGACAGATAGAAAAGAAAAAGAAAACTTTTATGACTCTGAAAGTATTTTGCCATTATTTCCATTTGTGAGTCCAAGTCATCCTGTTTTTACAGATTATCAAATACCCTTAAGGAGAGTTAACATTGTGCAGCGCTTTTCCTGTGCTAGGAGCTTTCTGAGTTGCTGCTCCATCTACACCGTCCTAGCTACGCTCAGCTGGAAACGGTAAATACTACTGAGGGTGAAATAAAGCAAGGCAAATATTGGTAAGCTGATGTCTTTGGCGTCAGCTGCAGTTGACACCAGAGACAGGCACCTCGCTATCCCGGAGCTAAGAGCTGTGGTCTCCTCTCAGCTCCAGGCGAGGCCACACTGTGGTTTCTGGTTCAGCACAGGTTCAGATTCGGGTCACGTGAGATGAGCTGTGGCGCTGCTGGCACCTCCGCTGCTCAAAGGAAAGGCTAGATTTTTGCATGGGTTTCTAGGAAACATCACTCATTTTCTTTCAACACTACATGGAAACAAAATGTCTTATTCTCCAACTCCCAGAGATCTGAATGGTGTTTAAAGTAACCTACTACGTTTTTCTTTGAGACAAGCTCTCTATGTCACCAACATTGGGCTTGGAAGCCTTGCCCTCAGCTTCTGGAGTGCTGGAATTCGAAAGTGGTACGGCGACACCCTAATCACAGGGCGCTACTTTCTTCATTGCTGGAACAAGGGATTAATTAAGCGATGGTAGGAAATTCCAGCCCTTGTAAAGCTTTAAATTTCAGCTGGCTATAGGTCGATCAAGAGCAGTTTGTGTTTAAAAGGTGCCCTTTAAAAAGAGTCATCGCCCACTTCTCTATTAGATAACTCTGAAATCAGGAGCCCAAGCCCTATCAGCTTCCCACTTTCCCATCCTTTGTCTTCCTCCCCCACATATGTGTGCCCCAGGCTGGACTCGATCTCGAGAAAACAGATGTTTATGGAATTGTGTTTACTAAACATGAGAAGATGCAGAGAGAGGTGAGGACGCAGGCCCCTTACCATCCGTCTGGTAGTTGAGGGCTACAAGCTGTATGCCGTGGAGCCAAAACATGATGGGGTTGGGATTGGATGAGTCGATTCGGGTCGCTGCGGGGTAGGTCCTCAGCAGCTGGCAAGCTGTGTGCTGGATCAGTTTCTGAGAATACCTGCGACACAGACGTTTGGCGGCATTTTCATTCAGTGATGAGATATGATAGCATTTGGGAGTTCTAATGATAGCGCTGAGGGACGTGCTTGGGCTGAGTGGAGAAGATTCCTCCCAGGTTTGTCGAATTCCTTCATAGGAACCTAGACCCCCCCACAAAAGATCAGCCTCTGATTAATGTCAAAACTTCAAACATTTTAGAAAGCTGAATCTCAACAGCACACCAAATGCACAGTTGCAACAAGGAAACAGAGTAGAATATATCTTGAATTTTACTTGTGAGTTAGTTTGCTGCTTTGAAACACGGTGGTTGTTGAGTTTTAAAATGAGGGTAGCAAGATGGGGTGTGACTCAGTGGTAGGGCACACATCTAGCATGCACAAGGATCTGGATTTAATTGCCAGCACCAATAAGTAAGTAAGAAAGTAAATAAGTAAATAAATAAACAAACAAAACAAGTAATAACATAAAGACAGCAACACCAACATAAATTGGACATCTAGAATTCCTTTAGCCTAAGAACATCACTGTTCTGTGGGTAATCTTTACAAACACAAACTCCATGTGTAACTGTATAAAACCCACAAGAAAACAAAGCCCCTAAGCAAAACAAATATTCTATCAATAACATAGTTAGATAAATATCCTTAAAAGAAGGAGTGTCACCCAGGCACAGAAGAAGATAAGACAGGAAAATGCCCAGACCGGTGTGCAACATCTGAGAGCAAACAAGAAGTTACACAACTCTGCTGGATTGCATCCTGTTCAGATTTTCTTTAAAAGAATTTTATTTTTTTGAATCAATTATAATGAACTTCTCAGTGTTCGACTCTGAGAAACAGCATCAGGACACTGATAATGGAAAAGAACTTTAATTATCTTATGTATCAGCAGGGCTTTTAACTGGGGGAATTTATTACTTTTACAATAAAAAGTAATTAGAAATAAAATGATGTATCTTGTGGATAAATGGCAGGGTTCCAGGAACCGTTTAAATGGTGGAAGGTGCTTCCAGTTTTATTTTTGAAGCAAACAATGTGAGACAATCTTCAGTTAAAAAAAATGCTAATTTTAGTGAGTTAAAAGGATAAATTAGCAATCAGAAGATATTTATGCTGTACTTGGATAGTGTAAACATCTATGAAAATAAAAGTGAATTTCAAAATTCAAGGGAAGTTAAACAGAAAAGTATCTGAGTCATCCAGCATGAAAGACCAAGCGAAGACACTGAGAGAAGGTGAGTTTACTTTTTCCAGATGTTCTGTTAAATGATGCTGTCTCCCCTGGGCTCATTCTGCCAGGATTGTTGCCAAAAATGGACTTCCTGCTTTTCCTTTCTTTCCCTCTGCTAGAGCCAGATGAATTTAGAGTTGACAGGCCTGTTCTCATAAAAAGAAAATAAATAAGCCAAAAGCCACAGGCAAGAGAGCCCCACATTTTCCATCCTCATTAATGTTTATATGGAAGTCCTACTAGTCCCTTGTTACACAGCACAGAAGACCCACTGCACTTCAGCATAGCGGATAACAGTATTGTAGGCAATTATAGCAAAGTTTATTTAATCTCTAGACAGATGCAACAAACATTGCGTGGTTATTAAAGAATAATTCCTAAATTACAAAACCACACACACACACACACACTCCTAATGAACTGTGTGCCTGAAAGAGTTTTCAAATTGCACATACAGAAAATACTACAGTTAATATTTAATTCCTAGAGGCTAACAACTCAACTCGGGGAGATGGAAGAATGAGTATGAGCCAGGGCGTAACATTGTCGACATTATAAGCTTCTGTATCCTTTGTTGAGGCCTTGTGGGCTTTCCCCATCCATATTAGCACGCCTATCGCTGCTGTCTTTGTTCAGTTCATGTTGAGGCAGTCATATTGATGAGACTTTATGGGTGTAGCGTCTGACATTCCTAGGAAACACAGTCTCATAGTAAACTCTCGGGTCCTCTGGCTTATAATCTTTCTGCCCCTCTTCTGTAGCTTTTTAAAAATCAATTTATTATTTTATGTGCATTGGCGTTTTGCCATGGGTGTTGGGTCCCCTGAAACTGGAATTATACAGCTGTGAGCTGCCATGCGGGTGCTGGGAATTGAACCCAGGTTCTCTGGAAGAGCAGTCAGTGCTCTTAACCACTGAGCCATCTCTCCAGCCCCAGCCCCTCTTCCACAATGATCCTGAAGCCTTAGGTGCAGGAGTTATTTTATAGCTATATCCCCTGGGACTGGGCTCCACAATTCTGCCTTCAGATCGGTTGTGGTTTTCTGTAATGGCCAATTAAGGAATGCTGAAAAAGGGAAAAATATTCATTTCCAGGGAAGAGCACACCAACTGGTTATCTGATACCAAATGGTCATCCCCAAAACATATATACAAGTAACATTATACAAACTGAGCAGGTTGTACCATATTTAGGAATATACATGCATGCATGCATGCACATATGTATACACACACACACACACACACACACACACACACACACCAAAAATTAATGAAGAAAACAGGCCATGAGTTTGGAAGAGAGAAAGGAGGGAAAAGTAGGATGGTTTGGAGGGAGAAAAACAAAGGAGAAAATGATGTAATTATAGTCTCAAAAAATGAAAGAATTTTAAAACCCGTCTGGCATAATCTTTGATCAAACCTTCTGTTTTTCCTTATCTAAAAAAATGGGTGTGATTATAGGAACGTACTCACAGGGTTAGTCTAAGGGGTCAATGGGAAAGATAATATGATGATGATGTTTTATATCTTTTCTTTCTCACTCCTGGTCCAATCACTCCCTGGATCGTTTATGTCAGGCATGGTGCCCAGTGCACAGCAGGAACTCAGTACATATTTGCTGAAGGAGAGAAAGAGTGCACAGGCCCAACTCTAGCATAAGAAGAATGACTTAAAGGCTCCAAGGAAGCCAGCTGACACAGAATCATCCCTGTCGCCCATGGCTACGCGGTTGGAGAGTGAGTCCTTGTGCTGCACTGTTTGGAGAGCTTCTTCAGAAAATGGTGACCCTTCAAAGAACACAAGCAGATGATCACATCCAACGCTGTTGGGGTGGCCAAGAACCAGGGACCAGATAGCCCAGAGACAAAGGGTAAACAAAAGTCTATTGGCTTAAAAAAAGAAGTAACGAAATGATCCCTAATGATATTCTGCAATATCTTAGACCCATGCCTTATTCAGCCATCGTCAACAGTTTCCTCATGCAGCAGATGGGGACAAATACAGAGAACCACAGCCAGACATTATGGGGGGGAGGGAGAGAGGGAAGGAGGGAGGGAGAGACTCAGAGTTCAGGGAACCTTGTGGAAGATGATGCAGGTAGAGCGTAAGAGCCTAAGGGGATGGAGGACACAGAAAGAACAAAGCCCTTTAAATCAGCTGAGCAAAGGTCATAGGAACTAACAGGTTGAAGCGGCAGGCAAGCAGAGGGCTTGTCCAGGTCTGCAACAGGCCCTCTGCCTATGTGCTCTGGCTTTCAGTTTAGTGGTTTTTGCTTTGTTTTTGTTTTTGTTTTTATTTTCGAGACAGGGTTTCTCTGTAGCTTTGGAGCCTGTCCTGCAACTGGCTTTTGCAGCCCAGGCTGGCCTCGAACTCACAGAGATCCGCCTGCCTCTGCCTCCCCAGTGCTGGGATTAAAGGCATGCGCCACCACCAGTTTAGTGTTTTTTATGGGACTCTTGAGTGTGTGAACAAAGTGTGTGAAGAAGTGGAACTCTGATTCTTATACCTTCTTGGGCTCTTTTCCTTCTGTTGGTTTTATGAGCCAACTTTGATGTGATGGTTCTTGCTTTATCTTATTGTATTTTATTGTGTTGTTCTGTTGCTATCTCCTAGAAGCCTGTTCTTTTCTAATGAGAGACAGAAGGGGAGTGGGTCCAGATTTTGGGGGGGGGGGTAAGAATCTGGGAGGAATGGAGGGAGGAAAACTGTAACCAGGATAGATTGATGAGAAAAGAATCTATTTTCAATAAAACTGGGAGGGAGGAGGAATACAGATAATGGATTCAGAAAACTAATGCTCAGAGAGGGTATCGGTGTTGGCCAAAACCACAAATAAAAACCACGATAAATCTTGCCGAATGATTTTCTCTGGGCGCACGCACGCACGCACACACACAAAATTTGGTAAGTACTGGGGTATTTGCCATCAGAAATAGTTAGAGACCAGGTTGAAGACTCTCAGATTCTTCATAGAGACTCTGGGTCTTGGAATTTGGGAATTCATAAAGGGGATTAGGGAGGATTGGCCAAACTGAGAACATTCTTATTATTCTTTATGATACTGGTTGGTTCAGGGCCTTGTGCATGCTGGCAAGCACTCAACCACTGAGCTGCATTCTCAGCTTGAGTATATTCTGTTTAAACAAAAGGCCAGGCAATGATAAAGCCACAGCGTATGTCTGATGAGAGTTGGGTATACAGGGGAGCTTGCTGGACACTATCCAAAAATTAGGAAAATGAGTAATATGAGAAAATACCATGCCTCCTTCTGCCCTTTTCCTATTAGAAGGAGGAGGAAAAGGCACGGAGATGTAAGGATTAAATGTAACTGAGAAACAAATCCTATGCAGATATAAATCATGAAGCGCCTCAATTATTTCCTTGATCCTAAGAAAGACCACATCCCTGGGAACTGAGACACCCAAGCTCTGTTTCTTGCAGGGCCAATGAAAAATTCACAACTGCACAAAAGTTATTTTATTCTTTTTGTTGTTGCTGTTTTGTTTTTTGAGACAGGGTTTCTCTGTGTAACAGTTGTGGCTGTCTTGGAACTTGCTTTGTAGACTAGGCTAGCCTGGAACTCACAGAGATCCATTTGCCTCTGCTTCCTGAGTGCTGGGATTAAAAGTGTGCACCACCACTGCCTTGCTAGGTGATTTTACTCTTACAGGGGTTTGGGTCATCCTGCATTCTGCAGGTTTTGTGGTGTGTGTGTGTGTGTGTGTGTGTGTGTGTGTGTGTGTAAATTTTTAGTACAGGGAATTTAATCTTGAGTCTTCACAAATGCCAGGAAAGTTTACTGAGCTAATAATCCCACTTTTAAAAAAAAGTTTGAGAAGAGTCATTTTAAGTTGCTCAGATGGTCTTGAAATCATTCTGTAGATAAGCTTCCAGTTCATAACCCTGCCTCAGCCTCTGCAGCAGCTGGACTACAGTCTGTGCTCCTGGGACAGGAGCTGGAAAGTAAGATTCACTGAAACTGAGAAGGTAATATTAACTTATCAAACATAAAACCAACAAGGTAACAAAAACATTTTATAATTTTCTCCTGTACATCAGAAAAATTTATAACAACAGTAACTTTTTAGAAGTTATTATAACAGTGACTCCAAGGACATAGTTTTAGTTATTCTGAGAAAGGAGGTAAAATTATAGACAGGGTAGAGAAACTTCAGTTGCTAACAAATAGCACATACAGTCGATGTGCTGTGTCAGGTCAGGAGAATAGCTTACTGGCGAGGAGCACCTGCTACTCTTGGAGAGGACCTGAGTAGTATACAGGTATACCCAGTACCTGTATAAGGTGGCCCACAATAGCTTGTGAGGCCAGCTCTGAGGATCTGAGGCCCTCTTCTCATCTCTTGGGGCATGTGTGAAACATGAACATTCGAGTGCGCGCGCGCGCGCACGCGCGCACACACACACACACACACACAGCCTGAAATAATAAAAATAAAATCTTAAGAAAATGATATGTGCTTCGTAAATGTTTTAAAAACAATATGCCAGGAACAATAGCCTGGTGTGGTGGTGCACACCTTTAATCCCAGCACTTGGGTGGCAGAGGCAGGTGGATCTCTGTGAGTTCAAGGCCAGCCTGGTCTATCTAGAGAATAGTTAAATCTATATAATAAACAAACAAACAAATGGGCAAAAAACAACTACAAGCTTATCCTGCACTCAGGTGAGGAGTTGGCCAAATGACCCCCTAACACTATCACTATTCTCTATCTGCTATAACTTTATCTTTCCTGTTGAATTGAAATATCTATGGGAATTTGTGCTCCTAGTTTCCTCAATACTTGAGAAAAGACAAAGCCAATTGAATTGTTTCTGTATTTCTAGTGTTACCTGTATTTATAAAGAATGAAACATGAAGCAATAGTGATATTTTTTTTTTGAGACAGGCGCTCACTTTATAGTTCAGGTTGGCCTGGAATTTAACCATTAGACCACACTGGTTTCAGGGCCAATTCCCTTGGCTCTGCCACCTGAGTTCTGGGATTATAGGCTTGTGTTGGATTCTTGAACAACATGGCCCTCATACATGATCTGATGCTGACAGTTAACTTTCTCCCTCTATAATGAAATAAGCGTCACTGGGGTTAAGTATGACCATAGCATACTTACTCATATGATATAAATCATGCCCTGTGGGACTAAAACATTTAAAAAATTAGGTGTATGTACGTGTGCCTACTTGTGGGTATGTGCAACATGTGAATGTCTGGAACTCAATGAGGCCTGAACTGGAATAAGAGATGATTGTGAGCCGTCTAATGTGGGTTGTGGGAACCAAGCCTGTAAGACCAGCAAAGGCTCCTATCGCTGAGCCATCTCTCTACCCGCATAAAGCTAAATTTAAATGTTACCTTCTTGTATGTTTTGAAATATTTGCTGCATATTCATTTATATCTACTTCAACAGGATTTACTAGCCGATGAGCCGCAGCAACGGCCAAAAGTTTTATAGTTTCTAGAAGAAAACTTAAAATTAAGAAACTTCTATGATTTTTTTTCTTACGGTGCACAAGGTGGACACTGTTACCCTAAGACCTACATCTCCAGTGTTATATAAGACAGTAGATGACTGTCTCTGTCCTCTTTGCCAGGTGCAGTGTGAGAAGTAGTGCTTGCCAGGACCTGAGTTCAGCACATCTTGAAAACATGAGGGTTGGCGTTTTAACTCTTCTGTCCAGACCAACTTTATAGGACCCATATCCCGACATCCAGACAATCCTCCGATCCTAGCACTTTTCCCTTCTCAGAAATCTTGGGCACCAGAGTTTTTTATTTATTTTGTATGAGATTATATTTTGCTGCCTTCTACCTTTTTGCTTATACTTAATTTTTTCCCTTTTGGTCTCCATTTATGGGACACACAATTGAGTTGATAACACACTGATAATACACTCTGATGAGAAAGGCAGGGCAGATGTTTAGGGAAGGATTTTGGAGACAGATAGGCTTTAGATTCATAGACCTGTCATTTACTAAATGATGAGTACACATTTTTTTTTTTTGAGACAGGGTTTCTCAGTGTAACAGTCCTATCTGTCCTGGAACTCACTCTGTAGGCCAGTCTGACCTTGAACCCACAGAGACGGGCCTGCTTCTGCCTCCTGAGTGCTGGGATTAAACGCTTGCGGGCCTGCTTCTGCCTCCTGAGTGCTGGGATTAAACGCTTGCGCCACCACTGCCTGGCTGAATACATTTTGGAAGCAATTCATTACATTGAGTTCTTTGTGTGTCTAGAAATGGCTAAGTGGGAAAACTTCCTCCTTTCCCACAGTTTCTTTCAGGTGGTTTGAGAAGAACCTCAACTCCACAGTTTAGGCACGGGACTATGAGGCTAGCCTTGAACTTGTGGTGATCCTCCCAGCACCAGACATTCAGACTGCAGCCCTTCAGTCACAGGGGTTGGTTAAGGTTTGGGAAAATAACTCAGTGGGGAACAATCATACTTCTGCTGGAGGTCCTGAAGAAATCTCAGACTGAACCTGAGTCTGGAAGTCTCTGGTGCTGGTTTGCTATTGCTGCCCCTCCCAAACACAGTGACTGACAAGAGAATGACGGAGGGACGGCGTATTCCCTGAACAGAACTGGACTGGGGACCTGAGTATCCGAGTGGTACTTTTTTTTTTTTTAAGTACATCAGCTGCCAGATTTCTTTCTTTGATAAAGTCAATTTCTGAAGTTTTCAAATAAGACTCTTTGCACGTATGCTCTGAAATCTTGGTGAAATTACTTGTTTCTGAGAATTTGTTTTATTCAGAAATGGGTGACAGGAAGCTGGGATGCTGGCTCACCAGTGAAGAACACTTCCTGTTCTTGTACAAGACCTGAGTTCAGTTCCCAACATCTGTATGGTGGCTCACAGCTGTCCATAACTCCAGTTCCAAAGGGTCCAATGCCCTCTTCTGGTGTCTGAAGGTACCAGGCACACGCATGATGCACACATACCCACACAGACAAAACACCCCTTGCTTACAAGATAAACAAATAATTTGAAAAATACAAGAGGAAATCTACTAACCTTGGGGAATTATTATGAAAAGTCAGAGGTCATCTATGGGAATTATTTATTTCAGTCACACAGTTCAGCTATTTTGCAGTACTCATAATACCCCATTAGACAAGCAGTGCACTTTTAACCTTTAGTAACTTTAAATGTTAGAGACGATATCGACTACTCTTACCTGGAAATTTTACTGCCTGGCAGTAGATGATGAGGTCAGAGAGCTCCGGTGCGATCTGCCTGCTTTCCTTTTTGTTCTGAGGGAGGTAAAACTCCTCTCCCAGTTCCATGTCATACACCTTTCAAGGGAAAATGACACCATTTAACCAGAAGGTGGAGTTCCCTTATTCCGGATCCCCAAAGCACTTTCTCTATTCATCTGCTATGTTGCCAACCTGCTTCCCGGCACTCAGTACTTCTTCACACCCATATGCCAGCACCTTTCTGAGGGAAAGGAGTGTGTCTAGTTCATCCTCCATGTCTCCAGGAAGAAGCCATTCATTATCTTATACATAGTCTATGCACATTTGGTGAATTAATAAAAGATTGATGATTTACGAGCATTGGCTTAGATTTTGACACCACAACTGTCAGAATTTTTTTCAGTGTCTATAAGCAATGAGGCACCTAAGGATGAGGCCTAGGTGCCTCATGTTATCTTGCTAACTCTTCATAATCTGCTTCCTTTTATCTTACTGGTGTAAATGACTTAAAAACCTCCCACAATTTCTTGAATAACCAAGTTGTCCTCTTGACCCGACTGCCCTGCTGGGTAAAACTTTATTCTTAAACAGTGTCTTTCATGAGAGCCTGTCCTTGATCCTCTGACAATACAGTGAGATCACTCTGCTTTTTACTTCTCTCAAATGTGATTTCCAGGTCTGTCTCTACCACTAAGTCATCCATCCCCTGCCCACTCCAGTGCCTGCCACACAAATACCTCCAGTAGGCGTTGACCGAGGGAGATAGTGACAAGTGGCGGGCAGGTGTCCCACAACATCACCATGTGGTCTCTGGCATCTGAGGAGTGGAGTCCCAGATGGAAGGGACAGACTACCAAGGTTCAAGAACCCCATGAAGAATAGACGTCTCCTACCTTTCCCTTATTGCCAGAAGAGTTGTCCGCTTTCTTTATCCTCTTGGGGATTTCTTCATTGTACTCAAACTGAAGCTTGTCAGCACATGCTTTGTTTTCAGGTTTGTCTTCCAGAATATTGTCTAGAAATGAGTTATTAGGCTTCAGTGAGAAAGAACTGAATGTGTCCTTCAGGGCTCTGTGAGAGGGTGGCCAGCCACCTGCAAGTATTTGCTAGACTGAGATGCTGGCTAGGCATTACTAAAATGATGGCTTGAAGCACAATTTTGAAACTTGGGTTATATGTTCGGCTTCAGTTTTATAGGCTCCTTCACTGGTAGTTTTGGTACCATTCAGACATAATCTAAGTGAAAAGGCTCATCTTGCACAGCTGGCTGTATCCTGTGTCAAGAGGCTGAGGGCACTTGTAGGTCTGGGGAGGAGCTAGTGGCTGAATCATTTCTAGGTGGCACATTCATGAACCAGCCTTCCTCAGAAATGAAGCTATTTGCTTCTTGAAATGTCAAAGCCAATATTCATGGGAGAAAATTTAAGTTATGCATGATAAAGAGCTTCCCCAAATTAAATTAATTGGAAAGGAAAGTTTTCATGATTGTTGTTTTCAAGTTATAATCTTAAGAATGCAAATATTTTCAAATTTATTTATTTTTAGTGCATTCGTGTTTTGCCTGCATGTATATCTGCATGAGCGTGTCGAATTCCATAGATTTAAGCTACAGACAGCTATGCACTACCATGTTGGTGGAACTGAACCTGGGTCCTTTGAAAAAGCAGACAATATTCTTAACCACTGAGCCATCCCTCCAGCCCCAAGAATGCAAATATGCCTAAGCATAGTAGATAAGTTTAGATTTTTGCCATATTTCGCATCTCTATTTAGAACAAGTGTAAAAGTCTGAGAAATATATTATGATTGTTCTCTTTTAAAGTGAAAAACAGGAGAGCTAATATCTTATTCTAGATTTACCCTCTTTTTGGACCACAAATGCTTAGAGCAAAATATCCTTATAGCAAATCAGGGCCATGCAGCTTACTAAGAAAGCAACAATTTCACTACATTGCTATGCACAGAAGTGCCACAGTTTCATGCTAATCAGACTCAAGACAGTAGAGATATAATGCAGACATCCATGCAGTTAAAATACCGGGTTCAAATGGTGTTTACCTTCCTGACTGTTAGGAACAGGGGAAGCAGTAAGGAGATCTGCTACAGAGAAACAGAATCAGAAAGAGAATACAGATAAAGAGAGTTAAGACAGAGCCAGATAAATTGAATGAAGGTGTGGAGCAAAGCATTGGTTACAGCAGCTTAGATCACAAGATGAGGGAAACATTAAGTGTCTCAGAGACCTAATATTTTGACTGTCACAGCTACAAAGGCTAACAATAAAGGAAATGCAGCCAGTCCTGGTCCTTGGGTAGTGAATGCAAAAGGATCAGGAGTTCAAGGTCATCTTCAACTGCATAGAGCATTCAAGGACAGGTTGGGCTGTATGAGACAATGTCTCAAAACAAACAAAAGAGCAAACATTGTTAATGCTAACCATGCCATAAGCTGCCCACTCATGTTACTAGTTAGTGAGGACTATAACGTTCCGGATTCGTCTTTAATTAAACTCAGAGAGATGACAGAGCCACTGCACCCACCATGAAAAGCAGGTTTGCTAAGGCATTTAACGGTTGCCTATGTGAGCTGTCATGGGACAAACTTCACAAGGCACACCATAACGTCAAGGCCTATTTGGAAATCAGCTAGCCAGAGGGATCTTTTAATAGTGACGACAGTAGACTTCAGCTGTCATAGCTCCCAGATGTTTGTGTTGGAAGTGTTTGTGTGTGGGGGTGGGTGGGTGGAGAGGAGGACATCACCAAACACTGGATAGAACTTTTTCATGACATATTAGAGAGACTTATGGCTCACAGTGATGAGAAATAAGTGTCTAAAGTCTCACACACCATGGGAGTAGAGTCTGACAGGCTTCCGCTCTCAATAAGTACTCTACCCCAGCTTAAACAAGGCATAGAACTAATTCAAAAATTCAGTGGGGAGCAGAGTTAAATTTTACTCCTCTGCACAAAACTAAACCAAAAAGATCTTTCTCTCCTCTATTCATTTTGCTATTTGCAAACAAGCAAACAAATAAATACTGAGAATGATAATTTAAAAAGCCTGCATTTCTGTTCTCAAAAGTACAAAAAAGCCCAAGAGTAATTAATGATTGAGAAGAATTTATATTCTTGAGGACCAACTTATTACAGGAACAAATAACATCTGAACTGGCTGATTTCCTTCCTTCCTCCCTCCCTCCCTCCCTCCCTCCCTCCCTCCCTTCCTCGCTCCTTCCCTTCCTTCCTTCCTTCCTTCTTTCCTTTTCTCAGTCTGTGTTTCTCTGTATAGCACTGGCTGTCCTGGAATTCACATTGTAGACCAGGGAAGCCTCAAACTCACAGAGATCTGCCTGCCTCTGCCTCCCAAGTGCAGGGATTAAAGGCAGCGGATTGGCTAATTTCTTAAGTATAATTTTTCATTTAATCTCTGAATCAATTTGTTTTGCTCTGGGGCATGCATGGGTCAGTATAAAACGTTTTGCATTCTCATGACTTTTTAGGACTAGGATGTTAATAAATTGTCTTGACTCCATTCAAATTTTATCTTTTTTATTACCTCATGACATTTCATACCAAATAAGTAGACCTTTAACTGATGGCATGAATCAACTATTATGAAGGCTAAATGTAAATGGATATTGCACAGTATCGTATTTAGACTGTCACCAGTAATGAAGGCCCTGAACTGAACATAATTGGAAATAAACATGAGATAAGAAGCTGACATGTGGGGATGGCTTAGTGGTCTTTACATCAGTGGTTACTGGTGTGGGGATAACTACACATTTAGCAAATAGTCTACTTTAAGCAGCAAGTCTGTGCCAGGGATTACAGGGCCTTTGTTACATGAGGCAAATGCTCATCACTGAGCAAAACCCTCAGTCCAATATATAATACGATGCAGGTGATGAAGTCAGGAGGATCAAGAGTTCCAGCCCAGCTAGGACTAAACAAAAGAGATGTTGTCTCATAAAAAAAAAAAGTTTGGCATTTTCTCATATGAATACAGTTGCCTTTCAGGGGTCAGCAAAGTGGAAGCCCACTATCAGGAATGTTGCAGGAGAAAAAAATTTGTCATCTCCTGCTAATGACACTAATTACATGCAACTCTGACTTAAGAAGGCTTCACTAGTAACCTTTAGTTAACATGATTTATTTGACTTTTAAAAATTGTGTTGTTAGCCATTGCTCACACTTTTCTCTCTGGTGGGGCCGGAAGGAAATGTCTGATTGGTTTAGTAATCAGAGAACAGGGAGACAGGAGGATGGAGCTCCTCTGTTTGGTGCCAGACTGTCAGAGAGACAGTATGACAACGAGGAAGAGAGCATGGAGCAGCGAAGCTGTCCCCTGCGGAAGTCGCAGGAGAGAGAGGGGATTTAGGCACAGTCTGAAATGCCTGCCAAGAACTTCTACCACTTCATAAACACAAAGGCTGAAAATGCGTGTGTGTGCATGTGTGTGCATGTGTGTGTGTGCATTTGCTATAACTGCACCTCTTCCTCTACACGCCCATTTTAGGAATGACACCCCCACACACCCCCCTTCCCACTGCTTCCTGTGCTGTCCCTATCTTCCTGGAGTGTGGCTGTGATGCTTAACAGAGCCCCTCATCTTCCTTAGTCCTCACTAAGTGACTGGATTCTCAGACTCCCAGACATTATTAAAACAATCTCTACTGTTTATCTATGGAGTTACAGATTTATTTTGGGGGAAAAAGAAAAATCACCTAAGCATTTCCCTGCTCACAGAAGTCGGCTCTGTTTCTCTTACCATCGGAAAGGGATTCATAATCATAATCGTATTCATCCTCTTCATCTTCCTCTTCCTCATTACTGGCAGGTGGGGGGTTGGTATTCCCACCAGTGAAAGCCTGTGCTTGCATGGATGCTAATTGATGAGCCTGTAAGATAGTAATAATTAAAGACTGCAATGCAACTTACTGAGCTTCCACGTAAACCTTTAAAACCCCACACTTGGTGCTTACGAGGGCGAAAAAAGTAGATTGTCCCTTTGGGTTCGTTTGAGAGAGCAAGAACATATCTGGATACAATAGAAATGTTGCCCTCACTGGAGGCTTTGACTCCTCATTTGGACCCACAGATAATGAAAACCACCATAGCATCTTGGAATTCACTTGTGTTGGTTTCTTTAAACAGAGTTACCCGCTTCTCAGGCACACAGGCATGATAAATCACTCAAGCAGTGTCTACCTAACCTGTCTTAGCTCCCATCAAAGCTAAGGAACAGAGATAAAGCACTGTCCTTAACCTTTTCTCTTAAGTCACCTTAGATTCTCAGAACATAGAAACTTTTTGAACAGACCTCCCCTTCCCCCATTGAGGACAGGTATCCATGATGGAAAGGCTGCTCCCTGAATCAGCAGTGTTCTCTCAAGAATCTCATTGTCCCTCAAGGAATAAGGACTTCTTTGGATCACCCAACGGGTCTAGAGCCAAGACAACGATGAGCTGACCACACCGTTACCAGGACTGGTTAACAGTGCACACCTCTTGCCTTCCATTTAAAGCGGAAGCTCCTGCCAGTGCCCTGAAGATGGACTTGGGGTCGCTGAGTCCCTCCATCTGTTCTTTCTCCCTGGGGAACCACACTAAGTGGATCTCTTCTCATCACACCGTTATGTGAGCTTCTAATTGACACGTTGAGAGCTGGTGGTTGAGCTCAGCTTGTTGGGACTGCCATAGCCTAGGCATTAACCCTAAAACCTCTGGATACAGCATTTTAGGCAAATGTCAACATCCTTGAAGAACTTGGGAGTTATTACAGAGAATCACAAGGAACGTGTGTGTGGTGTCCAGATTCCTAGGCTCTTTGGAAAGTCCTGCGAGATAAAACTCTGATGCTTGGAAAACTAGCATCAACCCCAAGGGACTGAGTGAAACAGCCTGTCAACTTTAGAGCAGGAAGTCTCAGTAAGAAACCATTTTTTTTCTGTCTTAAAATAATATTGAAAGTCCTCTGACCTAGAGAACAATGCTAGAATCCCTGTGGACAAGCAGACCCAAAGAACAGTTGCTAGTGTAGAAAACACTTTTTCAACAGACGTTATCTGAACTATAAATCAAAATAACAAAGTAGGCGTAGAAATTTTAGGAAACCTGGGGTTAGATAAATGGCTCACTGGTTAAGAGTGCATATGTAAAAGTTCAGATCCAAGGCCGGGGAGATGGCTTAGCAGTTAAGAGTACTCGTTCTTGCAAAAGATTTAGTTTTGATTCCCAGCACCTATGTGATAGCTCACAATCACTCATAACTCCAGTTCCAGGGGATCTGATACACCAGGCATGCTCACAGTGAATAAATATACATGTAAGAGAACACTCATTCACATAAAATAATAAAAAATCATTTTAAAAAATAGTAAGTTCAACTATTCAACTATCCAGGGGGGTCGGATGCTTCTGATTGCCACAGGTACCTAGGCCTGCAGTCATGTGCACAGGCTCTCTCTTTCCAGCTCTCTCTCTCACACACATATGCACACATACACACACACAAACATACACACACACATACTTAAAGATAATAAAAATAAATCATTACAACAAAAAATTTTAGGGAACGTGTCAAAAACATGTAATAGTGGGTCAAGTGATATTTTTGAATAGGATGAACATAAATAAATCTTGAAGGTATTATCAACATCTATGAGATAAGAAAAAAACTCTGTCATTTCTCCGGGTAAAAAAAGACACGCATCAGGTATTGCCTAAACTACTGGGTTTCTCCCTATATTTATAATCAGAGGAACTGCTAAATTCCAGTTAGAGATGATTGAAAACAAAGATATAAGCTATCAAGATGGCTCAGCGGTTAAAAACACTTGCATACAAACCTGACAGCCTGTACTGGATCCCTGGAACCCATGACGGAGAGAGAAAACTAATTCCTAAAGGTTGTTCTTTGACCTCGACATGTGAACTCCCTCTCTTTCAGTAACATATTAATTAAAAGACAGTTAAAGACATGGTTTGTTTTCATTTCTATTCTTGGACTCTATGCTGGCTAGCTTTATGTTAATTTGACATAAGCTGGAGTCATTCGGGAAGAAGAAGCCTTGGTTGAGGAGAAAATGTCCCCCTCAGGCTGGTCTCCAGACAACCTGTAGAGACCGTGACCAAGCCCATGGGACACGTTCTTGATTGATGACTGAGGTGGAGGGGCCCAGTTCACTATGGATGGTGCCATCCCTAGCTGGTGGTTCTGGGTGTTAGAAAAACTCAGATTGAGAAAGTCGTGAGGAGCAAGCCAGTAAACGGCATCCCTCCATGGCCTTTGCATCAGCATCTGACTCCAGGTTCCTGCTGTGAGTTCCTGCTCTGACTTCCTTTGGCGATGCACTGTGACCTGAGAGCTGTAAGCTACATTAAACCCTTTTCTCCAAAAATTACTTTTGGTCATGGTGTTTTACCAAAGCAATAGAAACCTAATTAAGACAGACTCCCTTACTTGTAACTATGGACATTACCAAAGTTATGATGTCTTTTTTCACAATAGGGTTTCTATGTGTAGCTCTGGCTGTCCTAGAACTCGACCTGTAGACCAGGCTGGCCCCATACTCAGAGATCTGCTTGTCTCCACCCCCCAAATGCTGGGATTAAAGGTGTGTGATACCTTACCACTAATTTTACGCTTTAAACATTTAATAAAAATAAGAAATTACATTGATTGACTGATTGGTTGGTTGATTGTACATTGTGTGTGTGTGTGTGTGTGTGTGTGAGAGAGAGAGAGAGAGAGAGAGAGAGAGAGAGAGAGAGAGAGAGAGAAAGAGAGAGAGAGAGAGAATTCATGCACAGTGTGTATGGAGTTCAAAGAACCACTCCAGGGAGTTGGTTGTCTCCTTCCACCATATGGGTTCAGGGAAGTGGACTCAGGTTGTCCAGCTTGATTGCATGTGCTTTTACATGCTTAGGCACCGTATCATCCCATATTCCCTAATTTTTACAAAAGAAATGTGGTTGCATTATTTTTTATAATAAAAATGTACAAATTGGGAAGATGCAGTGGAAGCTGTGCCCACATCTAGATAAAATATTCTACAGTGCTGGCCACCTCGATTATTAAATGCTCACTGGCTAGGCTTAGATTTCTCAAAGTGGGTTTAGGGAGCTTTGTGGGTGTAAATGGCCAGCATGGAAAAACTGAGAGCTTATCCACAAAATGCAAGGCAAGCCTGGGAACAGCAGCTTAGCCAAACACAACTCAGAACCCAGGGCTCCACAACCTTCTCTAAACACGCTACAGGCGTCTTCCTCTCCAGTGCATCATTTTACAGTTTACCTTTCTCCCTCCCCCCCTTCACTGAAACAGTATGCAACATTCTTTCAGATTTCCTTTTATACACGTACCATCTGTGATGATCAGGCTACACTGTACTTGGTAATGCACTCTATATGAACTGCTGCTTCTAACCCACTCCTATGCTCCTTTCTCCTTTTCTTTCTTTCTTTCTTTTTTAAATAAAGTAAAATGCAAAATAAACAAAAATTGAGAAGAAGGAAGAGGAGGAGGAAAGGAAATAGTCTTCTGGAACAGTGTTCTGGAAGCAACAGCATCCCTTGATGGGAGGTCAGTTAGTACATACACACATGCTAACACCTTAGTTAAAAAGTTTCACTGCAAAGTCCATGTACAGCTCTTACAGCTTTGGGAGCTGAAGTAAATGCCAGCCTCCTGGAGAAGCCTTAGAGTGGGATGCTCATAGAGAAGGTTTGAGGCTTTTAGCCCTTGGGGATCTTCATCTCCAAAACAGAGTCGTCTGGCTTGTGCAGTGGTTCTCAACCCACCTAATGCTATGACCCTTTAAAACAGTTCTTCATGTCGTGGTGACCCCGGTCATAAAATTACTTTTGTTGCCACTTCATAATTGCAATTTTACTACTGTGATGAATTGTAATACAAATATACATATTTTTTAGAAACAAAAGTTTGCCAAAGGGGTCAACCCACAGGTTGAGAACCACTGGGCTAGTACGATACCTTTCTTTGTAAAAGAGACAGGGGTCTTACTGTGTTTCTCAGGTCAATCCCCAGTTCTTAGGCTGAAGCAACCATCCTGTCCCAGCTTCCTAAGTAGCGAATTACAGGGACACACTACAGGTGCTCAATGGAGCTAATATTTTCAATTCTTTTAAAATATTTTGATTAGGGCTGTTCAGTTGCAGGGGCATGCACGCTTTCCTCCATCTGTCATCTCCCCAGGGCCTTCTTACACTGGTCTTCCCGCCTGGCTCCTGAAGGTGACTGGTGGCACAGCTCTTGCTGGCCTTCAGGATATAGGAATTATATCCTATAAATGTTTTAACATGTGAAAAGATTTTTAACGTTCTTAGGAATGTATAGGTAGGCTTGGGAGCACACACCTTCAAGTTCAATATTCAAGAGGCCGAGGCAGGAGTCACACACCAACCCGCTTAGAACAAATTAAACAACGGAGGTACATTTCACATGGGTACAACTCACAAAATAAAAGCTGAGGTTAGTGGGAGGAGAGAATCTCTTGGTCTATGAATTAGAACTCCCAAAATCAAGTGTATCACTTAAAGGATCTCAAGGTTCATAGCTATGCAGCAAATCATTTGAAAAGTCTAAATGGCATGAATTTCCTTGTCCCAAGCCCAAGGCATATTCCTAACTTGCTTAATCAGAGAGGATTACCTTTTGTTTTAGGATGTCAACTGGAGTCTGATGGGCCTTGAGCTTCTTGTTTTTAAGAAGCACTTTCCTCCTAAGTTGATCAGGTGAGGGAAGCATTGGGTCGTCTGAGAAATCAGTCTCGAATAGGAATTTAGCCACCAGCTTTTCTCCAAACACATTCTACAAAGCACAAAAGGAAACACACCATCAACACCGTCTACCACTACTTGATAAATATATTTACATCCCCCAAATGTACTGGATAGCTCAATTTAGTTGAGCTGTTTGAGAAACCCCAGGAAAAGGAACTAAGAAGAGGTTGTTTATTCTCCTGGCGGTTTCCTGCCGGAAGGAAGGGGGATGTGTCCAGGGCAAGGGGGAAGGCCTAGGTCAGACTGGAGAGGGAGCCAGCTGTGATGACTTAGGAAAATGTTCCAGAGTCTAATGCATTAAAGAAGAAAGCAAGCAGAAATTTGATGAGTGGCTGTGGTTTTGCAAAATATGGTTTAGTTCTCAGTGAAGAGAAGAGACGAGAGGCAACAGGGAGCGTTTGTTCCAACATTGGATGAAGAATAGATACCATTTTCACAAGGACTTATGAGCACTGGTCTCCAAAGAAGACTCCCTCTCTTCAGGAGATCATGGGTGGAAGGTAGACACAGGGTGATCACTCAAGATAAGGATAGAAAATATGGTGATTTTTATTTCTATCTATTTTTAAATAAGCAAAACCAAAAATTTCCAAGTGCAGAAAAGTCAAGGTTTTGCTGGTATTCATATTGGAGGACGTTTCTGTTAGCGCTCCCTCCTTTTGTGAGAGCTACATTTCTACAAGTGCTTCTCCCACTGGAGAAGGGGAGTGTCTTATGCAATGTCTGCTCCTTAATCTGTCTGCATTATATTTCTCTTGTATAAAGAAGCTTACTATTAACACAGAAAGGGTTCTGAACAGTCTAACTTGCTAATTTGGATCGCTATAATACAGTGTGGGTCACAAGAATTTGTGACTTTCCTGGAAACATATTGAAAAGTTTTTCCACATACAATTGCCTGGTGACATTTGGTAGTATAGGCGTACTGGAGAGTTGCTCTACCCTTACCTCCTGAGGCTTCCTGGAAAGGGTCAGGAAACCAGAAAACAATACCTATATGGAAAAGAGGGACCATTCTAGAAAAAAGCCTAAGCTCTCGGAGCGAGGCCATTTTTTTCAGGTCTTTACAGAATATGCTTCATGGCTAAAGTCCAGCTGTGCTGTGGTCCACATCTGTCCTAGAGAGATACCACCACCAACTGAAAGACAATAGTGTCTTGGATGAAGCTCACCTTGAAAATTTCCGCCATCTTTCGTTGTTGAGGCAGTGAGCAGTGGTTCTCAATGGATATGATAACTGGCAGGTCAGAGGTGATGAAGGCGCTGCGATCGATGGCTTCCACCACTTCCTGTAAGAGCCAGACAGCTCCTTAGAGTCAGGTGTCTGCTCAGGGTGGTCAGGAGGCTGGCACTGGGCTACAGAAAGTGTCCTAAGTGTTGCATTCCGTCGGTTCTGGACAAAAGCGGTTTTTATCTTTTCAAAAGTATAGGGGGTCTCTCTAGATCTGTGGAAGATTAATTCCAGTACCTCTGCAGATACTGGAATCTATATGATACTCAGATCTCATATAAAAATGGCATAACATTTACATATAATCTTTACAAATATATCTTGCCATGTACTTCAAATAATCTCTATATATGTAGAATCCCCAGTATAATGTGAACATATCATTTCCAAATGATGACAAGAAAAAACGTCTACAAATTCACTACAGACATAATTGTACCCCACTTTTGGATTTATACATATATATATATATACATATATATTCAAACATATACATACATATAGTTGTATGGTTGAGTTCATAGAATGAGAACCCATAGCTAAATTTACAAACACTAAGCAAAAGACTAGGATATTTTGTATAAAAACATCAAATATTGAGCCTTATTTCTATACTACAAGGAACAGCTGTTACTATGCTGAACTGAAAAAAAAAATTAGTACATATCAAGAAAGAATACCTTAAGACATTGTTTTGTTATAGCATACAATATAATAAAGCCTGAGACACATTGAAAAACTGTATTTGTAGCAATATGGCATACACCATAACTTTTAATGATAAACATAAACCTCCACTAAAATACAGTGCAAGAACTTTATGAATGATAAATAGAAAATGAGTTGAAAAATGCATTTTAGCTACTATCCCATATAATGGTAATATTCCTTCCCAGCCCTGCTATAGCTCAGAGAAAAATGATGTTAGGTAGCTTAAGACCCTCTGAGGGAGGAGCAACTGCATAGCTAAACTAATAAGCTATGTAGAATATAAAATAATCCAATAAGGCCAATTGTCCAAGATAATCCATCTTCCCAGGTGGAACTGGTTCTTGTTACTTTCTAATGGTAATTACTTAGCATCTCCTGACATCAGGACATCTTCACGATAATTTCCTTTGTCAGCCAAGATAGCAGAATAAGTGGCCTTTAATTTCTCTAGGAAGAGAACGGTCTCTGTCTTTATTTATCATTATATCATGTGAAAATAAATAGCAACAATATTATTATGTACCAACATGAGGTAACCGTTATAAAAAGCTTAGCTACATAAGGATTTCATAATAGTTTTTTTTTTTGTTTTGTTTGGTTTGGTTTTTGTTTTTTGAGACAGGGTTTCTTTATATAACAGTTCCAGTTGTCCTGGACCTAGTAAGAGACATTGTTTTTGTTATAGCATACAATATAATAAAGGCCAAGACACACACCATATCTTTTAATAAGTGTAGATTAGGCTGGTCACAAAGAGATCCACCTGTCTCTGCCTCCTGAGTGCTGGGATTAATGGTGTGTCCCACCACCACCCGGCTAGGAGTTCTTGATCAAATCCCAGAAAGAACAGACCTGTTCACACCCCCACACAGTACTGCAAACACTCTGAAGGTCTTTCAGATCTATTACTATTAAGTGATTAACTTAATGAAGATAATGTCCCTGAGATCTGACGGGAAGCATTACCTTGAAGGGGATCTTGGTTGTCAGTGTATGTCCATGATAAATAATGGGCATGCCGTCATCTCCATCCCAGCAGTCCAGCTCTATGCTCCTGCATCCTTGCAAGAGGACCTGTGTGACCAATGAAGGAATCCACCCCAGAGGATGAGCACCAGGAGATAAAGCTTCAAACTGAACCAAGCACACAGTTCACATCAGTCAGCATTTGCACTTATGGATAAAGAAGATGGATATTAAGTAGAAAACAGATAATTGGCATTTTTTGGTCAAAGATCATAATTAATACGGGCTCAGGGATGGGAGAGAACCAATTGATGTGGGAAAAGTGTTTACCAGAAATGAAGACTGTTGGAAGGTAAAGGGAGTGTTAGAACATGTTATCTCTCTTTTTTCTTTTTAAAAGTATCTTTTGTTCTTTGAAATGGAACATCTTAAAATTATAGGCCCCCCTTCTGTGTGTGTGTGTGTGTGTGTGTTCTCATACACGCAATCCTCCAGACTTGTACCTAGTGCTGCAACTGAACACCAGCTGCAGTCTTCCTTCCTCACTGCCCGCATCTCCTGTGGAGGTCACAGACCATCCCCTTCTAACCTCCATCCCCTCACTCTCCCACAAGTCCAGCAGGCACCCTCTGGTAAACCACAGGCCATGCACAGGCCTTCTCCTCTCACTCTGTTCCACCAGACTCAATCCCAGTCTCCTCCCTAGCAGCTGCAGCTTTCCCTCATCCCGGCCCACCTCTCCTATGGATCCCGTAAACCATCTTCTCCTAACCTTTCTTCCCCAACTTGTTGCTTTGTCCCAGACCCCAACTCCAGCAGGCACCTCCTGCTAACCCAAGGGCTGCTCTTCCCATGGCAACAAGTAGGCTTCAGGCAGAGCCACATCTCTCCTACAGTTCCTGAAATCCAATCAGCTCAGTCTCATCCCCAGCTCTGTAGCTGGAAACCTGCTGCAGTCTCCCTTTCCTGTGTTCCCATCCCCAAGGGATCAGAAGACCTTCTCCCTCCAGCCTTCCTTCCCCAACTCATCCCAGTTACCCCGCCTCCCATACCAGCAAGCATTCCCTGTGAACACACCAGTTGAACAGACCAGGAAAATAGGCAATCACATGCCTTAAAAACCCAGAGGAGAAACAGAAACCAAGGAACAAAACACCCACCGAATAAAGACAAACTCAGAAATCAGCACCTAGACCTACCAGCATCCCACACCCAGATTCTTAGATGCCAGCATAAAATCACAATCAGTAACAGTTGGGGTAATATGTCCCCACTATGGCCTAGCTATCCTGCCACAGCAGGCTCGGAATATTCCAATATTCAGAAGCTGAAGCACAAGAAAAAGATAAACAAATTTTGTGAAGATTATAGAGGTCCTTAAGAAGGAAATTAATGAATCCTTTAAAGAAAGCTAGGAAAACACAAAAACAATGTAAAAAGAAAAAAGTAAAACTGTTCAAGACCTGAAACTGGAAATAGAGTTGTTGTTTTTTTTTTTTAAAAAAAAAAAAACAACTCAAACTGAGGGAGTTCAGGAAATGAAAAATTTAGGATTTTGAACATGAAGTACAGAGGAAAGTTTCACCAAGATGACATCTCAGTGCTTAACACCTATGCCCCAAACACAAGGCCCCCAACCTTGTAAAATAAGCACTATTACAGCTCAAATCACACTGACTTTCAAACACTGTCAGTAGAGATTTCAATACCCACTCTAACCAATGGACAGGAAGCTAGACAAAAGCTAAACAGAGAAATACTGGAGCAAACATTTTATAAACCAAACAAACCTAATAAATATTTACAGATTATTCTACCCAAAACAAAAGAAGTACTTTCTTCTCAATACTTCATGGAACTTTCTCCAAAATGATCACATGTTTGAACACAAAGCAAGTCTCAACAGATACAAGAAAACTGAAAGAACTTCCTGTTTCCTATCAGACTGCCATAGATTAGCATTGGATATCAAAAACAGAAACAACAGAAAGTTTACAAACTCATGGCTATTGAACACCTCTCTACTCGATGAAAATGGATCAAGATAGAAATAAAGAAATTAAAGACTTTCTAGAATGTAATGAAAATGAATACCCAAACTTATGGGACACACAAAAGCAGCACTAAGAGGAAAGTTCATAGCATTAAGTACCTACATAAAGAAATTGGAGAGATCTTACACTAGCCACTTGGCAGCATACCTGAAAGCTCTAGAACAGAAAGAAGCAAGCTCACCCAAGAGGAGTAAACTGCAGGAAATACTTAAACTCAAGGCTGAAATCAATAGAAACAAAGAGAACAAACAAAGATTCAATGAAACAAAGAGTTTGTTCTTTGAGAAAATCAAGATAGAAAAACCCATATTCAAACTAACCAGAAGATGGAGAGAGAATATCCAGATTAAAAAAAAAAATCAGAAGTAGTCATTAAAAGTCTTCCCCATCCCAGAAAAATCTAGGGCCAGACAGTTTTAGCACAGAATTCTACCAGACTTTCAAAGAATAGTTAGCAACATCCAATACCAACACTCCTGAAAATAGTCCACAAAATAGAAACAGAAGGGACATTGTCCATTTCATCTCATGAGGCCACAGTCACCCTGATACCCAAACCACATAAAAACTCAACAATGAAAAATAAATATAGATCATTGAGAATTTCCCTCATGAACATAGATGCAAAAATGCTCAATAATGTACTTGCAAATTGAACCCAAGAATGCATCAAAAAGATCAACCATCATGAGCAAGTAGACTTTATCCCCTGAGACGCACAGATATTTCAATATATGAAAACCAATAAATGCAATCTACCATATAAAAACAATGAAAGAAAAATCTACATGATCATCTCATTATATACAGTAAACGTCACTGATAAAATTCAACACTTCTTAATGATAAAAGTCCTAGAGAAGTTAGGGATACAAGGGACAGTTTACAGCAAACCTATAGCCAACATCAAGTAAAACAGAGCAATTCAAAACAATTTCACTAAAATAATGAACAAAACAAGGTTTTCCAGTCTCTCCATATCTATTCAGTATAGTACTTGAAGTTCTGGCTGGAGCATAAGACAAATGAAGAAGATCAAGGGACACAAGTTGCAAAGGAAGAATTCAAAGTATTGCTATTTGCAGGTGATATGATAGCCTACGTAAGTGACCCCAAAAATTCCACCAGGGAAGTCCTACAGCTGGTAACCATTTTCATCAAAGTGATTAGATGGGATACAAGATTAACCTAAAAAAATCAGTAGCCCTCCTATATATAAATTACAAATAGATTGAGAAAGAAGCCACAGAAATTACACCTTTGCAATAGCTTCAAATAATATAGAATATCTTGGGGGTAACTCTGACCACATAGGTGAAGGAACTGTATGATAAAAGACTTTCCTCAAGTCTTTGAAGAAAGAAATTGAGGAAGATGTCAAAAGACAGAAAGATCTTCTATACTCATGGATCGGTAGGATTAACATAATAAAAATGGCCATCCTACCAAAAGGATGGGAATTCAATGTACTTCCCATCAAAATTTCAACACAATTTTTTTTACAGACCTTGAAAGGACAATTATGAACTTCATATGGAAAAGCAAAAAACACGGGAGAGCTAAAACAATCCTGAATAATAAAAGAACTTCTGGAAGCATCACCATCCCTGATTCCAAGCTGTACCACAAAGCTATAGCAACAAAAACTGCATGTTGTCAATGGAGTTGAATCAAAGACCCAGACATAAATCCATACACCCATAGACACCTGATTTTTGATAAAGAATCCAGAAATATACTACAGAAAAAAGAAAGCATCTTCAACAAATGATGCTGGTCTACCTGGATGTTGGCATGTAGAAAAATGCAAATAGATCCATATTTATCAACCTGTACAGAACTCAAGTTCAAGTGAATCAAAGACCTCAATATAAAACCAGATACACTGAACCTGACAGAAGAGAAAGAAGGAATAGCCTTGAATGTATTGGCTCAAGAGACAACTTCCTGAACCAATACCAATAGCATAGAAAATAAGATCAATAATTAATAAATGGGACTCAATGAAATTGAAAAGTTTCTGTAAGGCAAAAGATATTGTCAATCAGACAAAGCAGCAGACTACTGAATGGGAAAAGATTTTTACTAACTCCACATTCAATAGAGGACTAATATCCAAAACATATAAATAACTCATGAAACTAGATACCAAAAAACTATAAATAACTCATGAAACTAGATACCAAAAAACTAATAACCTAATTAAAAATTGGAGTACAGATCAAAAGAGAGGATTCTTTTTTATTTTTTTATTGACTTTTATTGAGCTCTACATTTTTCTCTGCTCCTCTCCCTGCCTCTCCGCTCCCCTTCAACCCTCTCCTAAGGTCCCCGTGCTCCCAATACTCAGGAGAGCTTGTCTTTTTCTACTTCCCATGTAGATTAGATCCATGTATGTTTCTCTTAGGGTCCTCATTGTTGTCTAGGTTCTCTGGGATTGTGATCTGTAGTATTCTTTGCTTTATATTAAAAAAAAAAACCACTTATGAGTGAGTATATGTGATAATTGTCTTTCTGGGTCTGGGTTACCTCACTCAAAATGTTGTTTTCTAGCTCCATCCATTTGCCTGTAAATTTCAAGATGTCATTATTTTTCTGCTGTGTAATACTCCATTGTGTAAATGTACCACATTTTCCTTATCCATTCTTCAGTCAAGGGGACTTTAGGTTGTTTCCAGGTTCTGGCTATGACAAACAATGCTGCTATGAACATAATTGAGCATATGTCCTGTGGCATGGTTGAGCATCCTTTGGATATATACCCAAAAGTGGTATTGCTGGGTCTTGAGGAAGGTTATTTTCTAATATTCTGAGAAATTGCCACACTGACATCAAAAGGGGTTGTACCAGCTTGCACTCCCACCAGCAATGCAGGAGTGTTCCTTTTACCCTCTCCAGCATAAGTTGTCATCAGTACTTTTGATTAAAGAGAGGATTCTTAATAAAGGGATCTAAAACGGGTGAGAAACAAAGAAATGTTCAACTTAAAGAAATGTTCAGTGACTAAGATCCTTAGCCATCAAGGAAATACAAATCAAATCTACTTTGAGATTCCACCTTACACCTGTCAGAATGGCTGAGATCAATAACACAAGTGACAGTTCATTCTGACAAGGATATGGAGCCAGGGAAACACTCCTTCATTCTGGTGGGACTGCAAATTTGTACAGCCACTGTGGAAATCTATTTGGCAATTCCTCGGAAAGTTGGGAAGACTTAAGACCCACCCAACTATACTACACTTGAGCATATACCCAAAGGATGCTCCTTCCTACCACAAGAACACTTGCTCAACCATGTTTATTGCTGCTCTATTCATAGTAGCCAAAAACTGGAAACAACCTAGATGCCCCTCAACAGAAGAACGGAAAAAAAATTGAGGTACATTTACACAGACTTATTGTTTTCCTGTGAGGAGTGGATATACAGAACATGGATATACATGGATATAGATATAACACATCTGTATGTACATATAAAATATAGAGAGCATTTTAGATATGACGATATACACATATATATTATCCACAGAACAATGGATTTTAAACTTTACAATTTACCTTTACTTATTTACTTATTTGTGTGTGTGTGTGTGTGTGTGTGTGTGCGCGCGCGCGCGCGCCCGCGCGCATGCACACATATGAACGTCATGGCATGTACGGAGGTCAGAGGACACTTGCAGGAGTTCTTTCCTTCCACCATGTGGATTCCAGGGTCTGAACTCTGTCATAAGGTTTGGTGGCAAGTGTCTTAGCTCACTGAACCACCTCACTGGTTCTACAAACATTTTTTTGACTTTGGAGACCTTTGTGCAAATAAATGGCCAATGTGTGAAGCACACAGAAGACTGGCCAGTAGTCCACTTGCCAGGGTCCAGTGCCTTCTAGCTGTGGCTTTCTCATCTCAGTACAAGCAGCTGAGCGCCCTTGACAGAGTCCCGTACTGAAAACCACTACTCTAAGAGCACATTTTCATTTCATTATAAAGATTCCTTAGAATTCAGAGACTAAAACACACATTCTGTGCTAAACAAACTTTGGAGGAAAAACTAGTCTACCATGAATAATGGACTAATCTGGAGAACAAAGGAATCTCACTGCTGCTGGTTGGGGTTGTGCGAGTACAATATAATTACAGTTTCCAAACTTGTATCTACAAGCACAGAACCACACACTTCCATTCCCTGGACCTAACCTGGCTCTTTCCTGCTCTCTGGGAGGAGTTGAGAAAAGAGACTTTGGAAGAGGAAGCCGGGGCAGTGTAACAGAGACAGGCACGCAAATGACTGTGAGCTGGCTGGTCAGGTCAAAGGATGTGTTTTTCCCACTCCAGGGAGCCCACTGGTTCCCAGGATGTTCCCATGAATTTCAGCCTGCAGGAAAGTGCCTCCAGTCTGCAGCTTTTCCTTTAGTTGGTTGCCATAGGGATGGATTGATTGTCTAACAAATTGCAAAGCAAAACAAAACAAACAACATTTTGGGATTAACTCCGCAAGAAAGTTGCATTTCTACTATGCTTTCCCACTGCAATATATGGATTTATTTAGCATTTAGTGAAATGATTGGACAGCTTTCCCATGGGAAAATTTAATTTTAGTAGGAGTGGATCTGACTAAGATCTAAAAGCTGTGAGTCTCAAACAAATGCTTTCTTTTTCTTTGCCTACTATGAAGGGCAAGTCTAGACAGAGGGGAAAACAAACAAACAAACAAACAAAGAAACAAACAGCAGGAAGAAGCAAAGAAAAGAGCCACTGTGTGCATAGCCTGTTTCCCCACACGTGACAGCGCCCCAGATTTCACAGCGCAGATTCCAGGCTCTTCAAAGGAGTCTGGGGGCGAGTTTCTGTGGCTTGGGGGCTACATGATAAGAAAGCTTCATGACCGCCACACCCCATCAGCATCCTCTCTCCGTACCTGGCTGTAGAGCTCCACAGAGGACTCTCCCTTGAGCTGATGGCCTGTGAGGTAGGTGTTGTGTGAAGATTCAATGTAATAGTACGAGAGGGGGAGCCGCAGCTCTTGCTTGCTCTCCTGTGACTCGTCATTTCTCGAGGCGAAGTTGTCTTTGTCCATCAGAAACCTGGATGAAACACATTGTCTGAGGGCTGCGTAGGAGCAATCTGTGCTCTTAAATGATGTGCAAAGGGGATCTGAAGAGTTACCTTGCAAACCCTTCAAACGACATTAGGCCCTGATGACACATACTGATGCTAGGCTCGAATTTCTGCAAAGGATTAAAATAAAGGCATTTTTTTTAGGTAAAGAAAACTAAGAAGGGGGAAATAACACCACATCATTTTTTTTTGAAAAAAAAAAAAGGCTGTTCTGTTTTCATTAGGAAACGTCTAAACCAAATATTTGAACTAATTTAGTTATGTAGTGGTAAGATGTAGTTTTTAGTCCAAAAGAAAATATTTATTATATGTGAGTTTATTATACCAAGCATATTTATTTAAGAGAAAAAAAGGGAGCAAGAGAAAAGAATAAGGCTGATTTATTCGAAACCACTGTGCATTACTGAGGTAAAGATGAGAATAATAATGTCAGCTATGTACCAGCAGTGGGGGGGGAGAGGGGAGCTGATTCTTTTGGTGCACCCCTACCACACATGCACTCAACAGAGCCACAGTGGACTCTCAGTTTTAGCTTCTTTAGCGGTTAAATCTAAAGGCTACCCAGCTACTCCATGGATTCCCAACCAGGTGATGAACCTCATTCTGCTGTATGTGACCCTGCCACAGTAGAGTTTCACTCCCTATAGATGCCACCGGCTAAACCGCTACCTTCTCCTGCCTGGGCTACTGGGGCAGTTTCCACCGTTCACCAGCTCCATCCTCCATCAGCACAGTCTATTCCCAAACGGGCTCACAGTGACCTCTTGGAGCATAAATCATGCACCCTCCTGCTTAAAATTTCCCCAAGCTTCCCGTTTCACCCGGACAACCTCCATCCGTTCTGTGGTCTAAAAGTCCTAGGTGGGCTGATCTTTGGATACCTGCCTGAAATCGCATCTGCCAGTCCTGCCGGTCTCTGACTATATTAGATTATTTTTTGATGCTCTTCATAAGTCCCCAGTTCGCTCCTACCCCAGGGTTTGAACCGGCTGCTTATGTTTCTCTGAGAACCCTCTTCCCTCAGAACTTCAAACGACTTAGCTCACTCAGAGCTCAGCCCAAATGCCCATCTCCAGCTTAGCCTTCCTGTTATCCCTACCCTGCTCAATTTAAAAACTAAAAACAAACTTATTCTTGAAATTACATATTTGTTTATTGTTTACCCCACAGACCAGAATGTAAGACGCACAGAGGAGTGAGAATTTATCCAGTCCTGTATTCCCAGCTCTTGAACACAGATTGCAGAGTGGGAGCGAAAAACTATGTGTGAAGTGATAGACTGAAAATACGGACTGTTGCATGTGTTAGAACAGCAAGAAGGAATGGGGATACAAATTCCTTGTAATTGTCATTGAGTCAGAGATGCCCTAGGACCTATGTTAATTATATGATAAATAAGAATACCTATGGACCTGGCATTATTTGGACCCCAGATAAGAAGGCTTTGGGAAGAAGTGTAAACAGAAGAAAATGCTTAGCATCAAATGAGATCAGTCAGGGACATGCCGTACACATGGTACCTGGATGATGCTGAGAATTTCGTCGTACGTGCAGTGTTCTCCTTGGCAGTTCACCAGGAAGTCATTGAGCTGGAGTATGCCAACCCCGAATATGCCCAGGGACGTGCTCTCAATCCCAGTGCCGTTAGTCACGATGCTCGCGGCTGCAATGGCATCGGATATCTGCCTCTGGTTGTCAGAAAGCTGCTGTTTACTCTTAATGAACAGCCCCAAGTCTGAGACGTTTCTGGTCAGCAAATCTGAAACACAGCCACCCACAGCAATTGATATTACAGAGTCAATGCCCTGGTGAAGCTCTAATCTGTTAAAGTGCCAAAGTCAGTGTGTGTTGCTGGCTTCTCACAGTAGAGGGAAAACAAAAACGAATCAATGAATAAATAAAAGAACCCAGGGGCTGGAAAGATGCTCAGCTTGGAACTCACTATGTAGACCAGGCTGGCCTCAGACTCACAGAGATTCACCTGCTTCTGCCTCTTGAGTGCTGGGATTAAAGGTGTGCACTATGACATCTAGCCAAAATTCAGATTAAAAAAAAAAGATTTAAAACTATGTGCACATGTGTTTGTGGGCGGGTATGTACATGTGAGGGCAGGAGCCCTTGGATGCTAGCGTATCAGAGACCTTAGACCTAGAGTTACAGATTTTTAACCACATGACATGGGTACTGGATACTTAACTTGAGTTCTCTGGAAGGTCATCAATATTTTTAAACTCTGAGCCATCTCTCCAGTCCAGATTTCTTTGTTTTTGTTTTGAGAATAACTGCTTCTAAGCTTTTCTTTTGGTAGAGACCAAAGAAACATGTTCATAAAGTTTTTCTGTATTTTTAAGTTTGTAATTATGAACATCTGTATGTAGATTTGGCATCAATATCATTTTAAAATTTATTTTGATAATAGCAACTCTTGAATAATAAATATAATTAAACAAAAAGTAAAATTCATCTTGGTGAATGGTCAAAGAGTTGAATCCTATGTAAAGAGTATGTTTAATTCAACAAGAAGCCACCACTGCCATTTTACAGTATAACTGAAAGTGTTCTAAGCTTCTCATTGCTCCCCATTCAGAGAAACTTGGCAGGGCTGGTTAGCTCAATTTTAGTCATTTGAGAAGACAACGTGGCAACTTCTTAAAAAGCGATACAGAGGCTTACCACAGACTCTAACACTCCTGGGTACTTAGCCAAAAGATTATAAAACATACCTCCATATAAAATTATGCGTACAAATGTTGATAACAGCATATCTACACGATGGAATATTATTCAATTTAAAAACAAATTAGCCACTGATTTGAAAAAAGAAAGAGCAATGTAAATGCACATTGCCCAGTGGGAAAAAAAGTCATCCTAAAAAGATCACATACTGTTGGATTCCAGGGGTATGATATATCCTGGAAAAAGCACAGTTATGGAATATTAGGAAAACTGGTGACAACCAGGGGCTTACAGGGGAGGAGGAGAAGCTGAAGGGGTGGGACAGAGATTGTCAGGGCGCAAAGTTGTTCTGCCTAATACTGCTGTGTGTACACGTCACAGTCTATAGAACCCACGGAGCGTACAACTCTAAAGAAAGCCACGGACTCCAGCCACAGTATGGAGTGATAGTGACTGGATTGTAACGACTACACTTTACTAGTGCAGGGCATCACAAACAGGGAAAGTTTGTGTGCTCAGATATCCACACGGGTGTGCAGGGGGCCAGTGTAAGGGAAGGCCATGATTTCTTCCTATTTTCCACACACCTACAAGGGGTCTATATGATAAAAAGTAAGGATTTAAAAGACATTATTACTTGGTTAGTCCATAGGTATGCATGTTTTGCAAGCTCTACAATAGTTAATAAGGACAATATAAGTTTATAAGTAATTATGAAGTAAGTACACGAAAAAGGGTAGTGTGTGTGTATGAGTGTGTATAAGCACACACATGTGTGTGCACTCTTTAGTGGTTGTAGTTCTGTCAAGAATTTAGGAGGAAAATGATAGGCTTAAAAATTCATGGGTGACTAAATGGTAAAAGTAGGAAAAAGGGGGGGATTTTGGTTTACAAAGAAGGAAAAACATCCTTGATGTTCAGACAGGAGTACTATGCTGAGGTGACCAAAGACTCCCCTTGACAAAGGACAGACAGTCACTGCTTGAGCCTGCACTTACTTATGGGTAGCATAGATACTGGTGTTTCTCAGTCAAGACCCAGTTCAAACCTTGTAGACATTTGAAAATGGTTGGGAAAGGGAGCAAGGTTGTCAGAATGACCAGAAAGATGGCATCCTTAGTTAAACACCCGTTTCAACTAAGTGCCAAAAGAAAGTGACAATGGATTTCTTACTGAAGTTCCTGCCTACCCCTCACTGTCAAATGACCTTGGGAACAATTCTCAGTGTTTCAAAGAGCTCCAGGTAACAGTAAACCGTGAGTAACAGGCTGAAGGTGTGTGTGACTGGATTTCCCACCTTGGTTTTTGGAGAGAAAGCTCCCAAGGGGAAATCCTAAATTGTTAAACCAACCTAGGTCAGGCTGAAGGTCACTGGGGTTTTCTTCAATGGTCAGGTTGGTGTACAGGGGGGCTGACTCAGAGGCAGACCGATTGCAGGGCACAGAGTAGATGTCAAAAATGTCCTTCAGGTCCTTGCGGCTCCTTACGCTGAAGGGAGAAGAGAGAACATCTCCCATTTAGAGTTGTCATCCTGATGTGGGCCCGAGAAAGAGTAAGAAGGAAGCCCGCATCCTACCTGAATGATTTGAACAGCTCGACGAATTCAATGAAGCTCATGTTACTGTCTGAAACCATAAAGCTCTGGAAACCCTTCATCCCTCCTTTGATCCGCCCATGCCAGCTGCTGCTGCTCCAGGCACTGCAGAGAAACATGGCTGTCACTGGTAAATGCACACCCCGAGTCATTCTGCCTCCACAGTCTCTGATGGCAATCTGAACAAGAAGGGAAATGATACTATATCCCAGACTCTTTTTATTTCCCTTAATCAACATCATCTCACAGGTAATAAAGATGTACCGGTAACGGTGTTCCTCATTTACTCAGTTGGGACAAAACACTGGGGCTAATATTCCTTCACCAACAAAACAGCTCTTTAGAAGCACAAATTGATAAATCAGGGGGAATCTCCTACATTCAGTGTGTCTTGGAAAAAGTTATGTAAAAAAAAAAAAAAAGGGATCTCCAAATTCCTCATTCGTAATCTGCGGGAAATGGTTCACGTTCTCCTCTGTATTCTAAACTATGGAAACACATCCAGGAGGCAAGTTTGAAATGCGCCAGTGTCTTTCTTTTTCCTTTTTTAACCAGTTCTTCAATGAAAACAGGGAAAAGCTTTTAATATTAATGGAAAATGTGAGTCAGAAAAATATTAAGAATGGAAAGACGCCAACCCCGCCTTGGAGCCCATCTGCACCTTCCAAGGCTGTATCCATTCACCATAAAAATATCATCGCTCTCAGGCAAATATGCAGTCTGGCCATTTTACTACACTTTTTATTTTCTGTGTGGATTACTCAAAGTAGTAGAAGAAATGTTTTGATGACGGTTTTAAGTCAAATCAATTAATGTACTATTTCTTTCTCTTTTTTCTTTTTTGTGAGGAAGGCTTAGATTTGGAGGGGTAAAGGGGATATTTTAAGTGTTAATTTGTAAAAAAAAATACAAAGAGCACAGAGCAGTCAGTCTACTTTCAATTCTGCTCCCAGTGTTCATGCACTGAAAATATTGAGAGTTAAGATCTGATGGTCACCTCTCTGGGTGGGAGAGCAGCACAAACGGAAGGATTTCCAGCTCGGTGCGGGCAGCTTAGGGTACAAGTTCAGGAAGACGTGAATAGTTCTTTATCATTGAAACACACTGCAATTAATTGTACGAGTGTTTCCTGTCTTCCTCTTTTCCAGTTCCATTGTCAGCTGTGGGATTGTCTCTCTGTCTCAAGGGGCTCAGTCTCTCTCAGTCCTTTAACACAATTTAGGCTGGTGTTACTTCTTCCTTCCTTCCTTCCTTCCTTCCTTCCTTCCTTCCTTCCTTCCCTCCCTCCTTCCTTCCTTCCATCCTAAAATTGTAAGTAGGGACTGGCCCTGCACCCTGGGGCTAAGCCTTTGACTTTAGACTTGGTATGTTAGCTAGTTTCTCCTCCAAGGACTTCCTTTTATCACTCTTCTCTGCCTTTCTCTGCTCACAAGCGACTTAAATAAAAGGCAAATACACTATTTTATATATTTTATGTATCCAGGTTCCAGCATGGGCTGAAAGTATAAAGGATCCCAACTATTTTCAGTTTTACTATAAATCTGAATTTATAGAACAGTTTTAAGAGCAATAAAGAGGGCCATCCAGCCTTTGGCCCATCTTTACTAACTGTGGGATTAAAGGCACAAAGGCTAAAGTTAAAGATTGTCACTCAGAGTGTGAGGGAATTCGTCCCTTTAGAAGAGAATTTACCATGGTGTTCTTACCAATAGCATGACTCATGAGATCAATTACATAGGACATGTCTGTATCTATGCACATGTGCATAGTGTGTGTTGAAACGAATGTTTTCCAAAGCCAATGTCTGCCTGCTGAGACTTTGTGGCACAGTCAACAGGACCTGCTTTCCATTGTTTCTGCCTGGATCTTCCACATTTCTTTAGCTGCTGTGTATGGAGTGGTGTTTCGGCTCCCTTCGTCCCTTTTCATCTTATTATTCCTTCTGTTTCTAAGACGTAGATTTTGTTTGTTTGTTTTTGAGACAGGGTCTCACGATGCAGCTCGGGCAGGCCTGGTACTAGCTAGGTAGGCCAGCCCAGCCTCCAATTCACAGAGGTCATTCTACCTCTCAACTGCTAAGATTAAAGACAAGTGCTGTCATGATCAGCATAGGCAGAGGTTTTTAAAAGTCTCTGGTCCTTACATCATCATTTGCAACAACCCCAGCTTTGGGTTTAGGTAAAGATATCTAGTCTGTTGCAATACTTGCATTTATTTCTCCAGGCAAGCATAACTTCTACCACAAGTCAAAAAGTGTGACTTGTATTTCACTATCAGCAAGGTGCGGCAGTGCACACTCATTTCATTTTTCCCTTGAATGGGAAACCTGATAGAATGTGTTCCAGTGACACACATGTTCTCTAGCTACCGTGTTCGGCTCAGGAGCCTTTAGCCACCTGTGGTGCAATTAAGATGTGACCCAGGAACCGATTGTCCAATTTAATTTAATTTTGAATAATTGAAGCTTGATGTTAAAGGACTCCAGGCGATCAGTGGCTAGTCAACTAGATGGAGCTGATTGAGAGAACCACTGCTTGGCCTTTTACTACTTCCTCTGACCTCGGAAGAACATCCTCTGACCTCGGAAGAACTGCTCTCTCCAATAACAAGAAGGGATTATAGCAGTATGAGAAACCATGATGACAGAATCAGGAAAATCAGAATCATTTTCAATTAGGGCTTTTTCAGTTTAACTATGAGCTAGAACTAGAGATGGGAACAGCTGGGGCAACGTGGAGATTCCCTGCTTCGTCATGGTAAGGCCCCACCTGGATGGACTCTTGTTTGAAGAAGACAGCACGGGGGAGGAGACTGGCCTGATGGGAGATGACATCCCGGGAGTCAAGTTGGGGGACCCAGCCGTGGTCAAAGAGTGAGCTCTTCTGGAATGCAGGGGGTTGGGAGGGTTAGTGATGACATTGGCTTCTGCAGGGATGAAAGAAAAAAAAAAAAAAGAGGTGACAACTTAGCACCTACTTTCCCTTAAAAGCCAGCAAAACAATCCACACAACTGATTTTTATGTAGGAAACATCCAAATACTTTGATGGATGGGCCAATCTGGAGGGTTCTCAGCTGGCTACAAGTTAACCTGGGAGCTTAGAAAAGTGCACAGATGCCCAAGGCCTCGGTAAAGAATATAGAAATGACAGGATCATGGGCGTGGTTGTGACATCCAGGCATATTCTTAAAAGCTCTAACACCCAGCCAGTTGTGCCCTGTATAGTTAATATTATCTACCAGTAATGGCAAGTTGAGGATTTTCCTCCAAGTAGAGTGTGCTTGTAGAAATGCCTCTCAGGTTTCACTCTCATCAAGACAAATAATTCTCAGGATGAAGGATTCCCAGCAGGGGCTCAAGAGATGGCTCAGAAATTAAGAGCACTTGCTGGTCTTACAGGGGACTCAAGTTCCATTTCTAGCACCACATCAGGCATTTCATGACGGCCTGTAACTCCAGCTCCAGGGGATCTGATGCCTTCTTCTGGCCTCTGGAGAGGTCGTGTGTGCACACACAAAATGTTTTTAAAGAGATGTAAAAAAAGGAATTCCCATAATATCAAATTGAAATCACAGAAAAAAGCTAAATCTGTGGGTTTTTCTTTTCCCCATAAAAACAAAACAAAAAAGTTCAGATGTGAGCACAGTGCATTACCCAACTCTTCTTGCTCGTTCACGTCCTGGGGGTCAGAACCGCTCCGGCTTCGACACTCCCTGTACATCTTGGCCTTGCGGGTCGCCATCTCGTCGTCAGTTGCCTCTCCACTCTCCCCCTGGGAACAGAAATCTTACCATGACTGTTGGACTATATTGCTCTCCCCCAAGGCTTTGTACAGTTCAGGTGGGTTTCTGTTTTCTGACTTAGGTCCTTCAATCTTGTCTCACCTGGTGAGACCAGTAAAGAGCTACGTAAAGGCTGCCCAGGTGACCTCGAGGCATTTTATCCAGTGTGCTCTTAAGTGTGAAGCAGTGTATCCCCCCCCCCCAGGAAATGAGGCTAAAAAAAGAACCCATACTCCAGGAATCTCTGGGGACAGACACAATAAGAAGCAATGAAGTTCTATGAACCTTCCATGAACAAAGCACAGGACTGTTTTAGATAGCTATGAAAGAAATACATTACGTCATAATGAAAATATAGCCAACAATATACAGTGCTACTATGTTTTTAACATTGTGGATCGTCATAATGTGATCTTTCTGCTTTTATTGGGGGGCGATTTTATTTGGAGACAAATGTCTTACTCTGTAGCCTGAACTTACTGCAATCCTCCTGCCCCAGCCTCTGCTACATTGGGATTACATGAGTGAGCCGCCATGCTTGCTCCTGTTTTCTCTCCAGTCCCTCTTTACCCACCACAGAAACGGTGCTCTAGCCTTTAACACACACTTCTGTATGTGAGAGGAATAAGCAAAGCCTTTTAACCTCTCTGCTGGTTCCCCTGTGGCTGATGCTTTCCTTTGTGATGTGTTTGGAAACCTCCCGGACACATTTCAAGACCCACTATGTGCCAGCCACTCTGAGGTCCTTCCTTCCTGCCTGCCTCTCCCCTGTGGTTTTCACTTCTCTACTGATACAGCTCTTTGCAGGTGACTTAACAATGACTCCCATTTGCCACACACTGTGTTTGAGCCAATGCAGACTTTTAAGGACCTTGGTTTTTCCTTGGTGTCTTCTCCTTGCCTGATTTCTGACACTGACCCTGGCACCTGAGAGGTACATTGGCAAGTTCTTGTAACCATTGTTTCATAATTTATCTTGTCCACAACTCAAATAACCTCACGTGGCTTATGGCAGTGCAGACCATGGTAGTCTTAGAAGGCCAGGTACGGTTAATAAACAAATTTACTCTACCCTCATGAGCATCTTCTTCTTTTTCTTGGTGGTGCTTATGCCCAGGGTGTTGTTTCTCTGCATGGTGGGCTTCTCAGCATTCTTTGCTGACATCCCAGGGCTGGGGTTTCTAGCATTCCATCGTCTACCACCAAACAACTCCACAGCATGAGCCAAGGTTGGGCCTTCATACCGACCATCCTCCTACAAAGAACCATATGCTGAACACATAAGCGAGCAGCAACAGGTAGTAAATATTAATGGTCCCAGTCGATTCCCAGAGGTGAATAAGCTCAGGCATTTACAGAAAGAAGCATGATCTGGTCACCCATGTGTGGCTCTGTTTGAATTCTGGGGACTTCCTGTTGGTGGGTTGATTGTTTCCCCGGTTGTCCTGATCACATCCCAGGTCAATGACGTACTTTAGCCCAAAAGCTGGAGGAAAACAAAGAACCAAACCAAACAATTCCCAACCTAGTCTCTGAGGTTATTTGGGAACTAGTACTGTGGGAAAATTCATTAAGACTTCACATTAGGGGCGGGTGGCAGAGTTCAGATGGTAGAGTGCTTGCCTAGAATGCACTTCAGAAATCTTTAAGACTCTGCAAAGTATAATTCTTAGGAAATTGTCTAGCATCTATGAGGCTCTGGGTCAATCTTTAGTACTCCTCTCAAATTTATTTCCATTTACTATTTCCTGTAACCTTTATTTTTATTTTATCTATCTATCTATCTATCTATCTATCTATCTATCTATCTATCTACCTACCTACCTTCCTACTTATATATCTATTTTTATGTGTGTGAACTATAACCTTTTAAAGGCAACTATCCTTTACACTTCCATGGAAGTATTTGTAAATATATTTAAAAATGATTTTTTGATAGGGGAGTTCAGCCAATCACATTCTGTTTTTGGGGCGTGCCGCCCTCAGGCTAAAGCTTGCCTATAAACCTAGCAAGCACGCTCCACTAGCTCTCTCTTTCGCCTGGCTCCTGCGCCTGGACGGATCATTTGAATTCTGGTGTAAGCTGTTGTAAGTCTTACTTCTGTTTATTAAAGCTCTATATTTTGTATTAAGATAGATAGTCTGGGGATTTTTCATTACCAATCGCCCTGCGGCATCAATTTTTGTGTGTGTGTTTGTGCATGTGTGTGCCATTGACCCACAGGCCAGAAGAGAATGTCAGTTCCCCTGGATCTGGTATTGCAGGCAGCTGTGAGTCTCCTATTGTGGATTATAGGTTCTGAACTTGGCCCCACTGCAAGAGCAGTGAGTGCTCTAAACACTGGATGATCTTTCCTGCCCTGTAAAGAGATTTTGACTCACTGTAAATACTATGCAGATAATAAAGAAGATTTTTTGCGTATATTTGTTTCTTTACCCTAATGGTTAATGGTTTTCTGCTTTTATAACTTACTCTACAAACTCCACCTTGTACATCCTGTTATGGTCTCAGGGTGTGGAATAATAAATACTTGATGCAGAAATCTTTAGGTGACCACCTGTAATGTGACTTACATCTGTGACCTTTATATCTATTTCTTCCTTCTGTAACTTCTACTTTATCAATTTCCAGTTGATACTGATGGATCTGTCAATCAAAGTGGAATATGCTCTCTTAACCAGTGATTGATGCATGAGGCAAATAAATCAATCAGAATCTTCCTCCCTGAAGTTTTTTAAAACAGAATCCTGCTATTGTGGACAACTTCCAACCCATGATGATTTCACTTCAGTCTCCCAAATAGGTGAGACTACAGACACATGCCACAGTACCCAGGAATAGAATTACTGGGTCTGGGAAAATGAACATGGACGACGATCAACCCACCTGACACAGGCCTCCTGAAGACAGTACGAGCTAATGAGCTATTCTGGATGCTCCAAACTGAACAGATATCACCTAACACAAATCAACAAATAGACTCAAACCGTCTTATTGGAGAACATACTCTAAAGCGGAAGGAGGGCTTGTAGAACTTTTGCTTATCGATCTCCTTTCAACTCACGCACCTTTAAATGTTGAACAGACCTGATACAAGTTACACATAAGAGGATCATCAGCATGATTAATCTCTGCTGTTTCGGTTTTGCTAATTTCAGAATATCTATCCCAACATGGTATAAAATTTATTCTTAAGACTAGCAGCCCTACATAAAGAACTCAACCCTATATAAAGAACTATAGGCAATTGAGGAAAGTTGGAAGAGGGATGGGTGGTCTTCCTCAGGGAAAACAACAATTGGCTGTCCAGTGCCAAATGGTCAGCCCTGAAAATATACACACAGGTAGCACTACATGAACTGAACAGGTTATATTCAAGAACATATATGTATATACCATATATATATGCATAGAGTAACAATTATTAAAAAATAAAAGAAGTCATGAAATTGGAGGGGAGTTGGAAGGGTATATGGCAGGATTTGGAGGAAGGAAAAGGAAGGGAGGAATATGATATAAATTATAATCTAAAATGAAAAAAAAGAAATAAGAAAAAGATAACCTGGTCAGGAGAAGATGATACTTTGCCTTAGTCTCTCAAGGAGGCTTTCTGGAAACTAAAATATAGTGTGAATATTTCTTTCATTTTACACAAAACAATAAGCATGTTTGGGATGGGTAGAGGAAATAGTTTCTTTTCTCTTTTTAAAACTTTGAATGAAGGATGCTTAAGTAAACACAGATTCTTAATTTTAGCAACAATTCACATAGAAGTTGATGGCTAGGAAGCTAATTCATTAAAAAAATAGCCACATGGGTTGGAGATAAGGCTCAGTGGTTAGGAGTGCTGACTATTTTTCTATAGGACAAGAGTTTGGTTCCCAGCACACACATGGCAGCTCACAACTGCCTGTAACTTCAGGTCTTTGACTGACACTTGAATACACACGCACCACCCAAAGACAGACACATAAAAATACATAATTAATTAAAAAGTAAAAATAAAACAAGTCCTGGGCAGTGGTGGCACACACCTTTAATTCCAGCACTTAGGAGACAGAGACAGGTGGATCTCTGAGATCAAGGCCAGCCTGGTCGTAGAGTGAGTTTCAGAACAGCCAGGGCTACATAGAGAAACCCTGTCTTGGAAAAAGGAAAGAAAGGAAAGGAAAAAGAAATATTTTAAAAAATTTCATGTACTTAAACAAGTTGACATCTCTTTTCTATGAAGACCATGAAACCAACCCATACCATTTGTTTAAATATTTTTCCTCTGCCTATAGTAAGGAATTTGTGTTTATTGCTACAACCAAAGATGCTTACCTAGTTATTCTATATTTAAGCTTTGCAGCTTCTCTGAACAGTGTGGGCTCCTAGCTTTGCCCCCTGACAATTTAAGCCAAAGCTAAAGGGCCCATATCTCTTCCACCTTCCACGTCAACATCATTGAACAGTTTGCTGGCTTTTGTTATATTTTTCACTGTGAAGTTGAAAAGTTTATTTTTATTTTCTATGTACACTTTTTCCAAACTTGGGATAAAGTAATGTTTTTATAGGGTTGTTCCTAGAGTTTTGGAGAAAATCCCACAGATGTTCAAAATATTTAACTTATAAATTAAAAAAAATTGGTAGTAGTGCAAGGCAGAGCATGGTGTTAATATGTATAACTCACTTACTTAATATTCTAATGTTATATATCACAGAGCCAGGTCTAGTTAATTCATCTAAAATGCAAATAAAAGTACCTGCTTCCTGTGTGTTCCACAGGGAGTTTTGAGCTTAAAGAGCTAGTTGGGAGAAAAAAAAATCTCTGGGCATATCTATGAGGGGCTTTCCGGACTGGGTTAAGTGAGGAGTTAAGAGCCATTCTACACATGAGCAGCACTATTTCATGGGCTGGGGTCCTGGACTGCAGAAAAAGGAGAGAGTGAGCTGAGCACCAGTGTTCATCTCTTTCTCTCCGACTGTAGACGCAATGTGACCAGCCGCCTTATGCTCCCATTGCCGTGACTTCCCTGTCACGATGGATCGTACCATCAAATTGTGAGCTGAAGCAAACCCTTTCATCCTGAAGTCACTGTGGCCAGGCATTTTGTCACGGTGGTGAGAAAAATAGCCAAATACAGGGACTGCATGAGCAACTGAGTTGAACAAAGTCCTCAAAAATTTCTCCAAACTCCTGGTGGCCTGTGACCTTCCTAAGAAGGCCCCTAGCATGGGGGTATAACACATCATACTAATTAATTAAAAATCCCTTGGGTTACACTTTTGGAAGAAGCTAGGGAAGCCTGATTGGATAAATTAGTTATTAAAGCCTTCTCTTTGGCCTTCCTCATTCTCCCAAGGGTTGGGCTGATAGGCGTGTGCCTCCATGTCTGACTTACAGAGCTTTCAGCTAAACCTTCAGTTGGTGAAAGGCCTGGATCAATTGGCTTCTTTGCAGACAGGAGAACCACAGTCACTGCTTTCATATAAAATAATAACAGACATGCATATCCATTTACACGTTGTCTTTACACGCTACGAGCTCAGAAAAGTCTTGGAGACAAATTATGCATAAGTACAGATCATTTCCCGTTTTCAGACAGGGAAACTGTGGTCCTGGGAGGCTAAAGAAAGCTGCCCAAGTTTACACGGAGTAGCGACAGGTCTGGGAACCCGGTAGTTTTAACGCCAACTGTGTGCTCCTGCGGGTTGCATTACCCGAGGGAGAGGGCCGGACACATCCCTTACCTGATAGAGGCTGACATACTGTTTCCGAAGCCACTGCTGCCTTTGGTCAGGGAACCGCCTTATCTTTCTCACAGCTGTCGTGAGTTCCAGCAATCCACTGAAAAGCATTTTAGCTGTGTGCTTCGGTGCCACAAAGTGCAAGAGTCTATTGTCGGTGGTCTGGAGCCCATAGAGCAGGGTCACTCCAGCCTCGGAGAGAAGCAGGCTGCTCAGTTTGTTCTGAACACACACAGTGTGTATATCAATGCCTGGGTGGCCCATGTACACCGCCTTCACCGAAAACAGATCCAGGATTCCCTCGGCCAGGCCACTCAGCCCAGCATTGCCTAGTGATGGGAACTTGCCGGGCTCAGACATGTTGCTAAGCATACCAAGCTTGGGTCTGGCACCGGCTGGGGAGGCTGTGGGAGGCTTCATCCAGGTCAAGGTACTATTGTCAGGCTGTAACTGGAGAAAGCAGCGGGCAGAGAGATGTGTGTCCTGGTCGTAGTGGATGACTGTGGCCCCCTGCAATAGGAACTGGTGCACATCGGCTTGGATGGACAGCACGTACCACGGGATGAGCTCTGTTCCGTGGTCAAAGGCCTTCTGGGACTCATCTGACCCATGAGGGTCGCATTCTTTGGACTTCTCAAAGATATCATTTTCTGAATCCAGCAAATCTCCAATTATAAACCTGATGAAAACAGATAAAAAGTTACTTTATAAATTAACTTATAATCAGATTACTTATAATCAGAAGGGGACCAACACAAAATCTTCTTCACACACAGTAGCCTCTGACTCCTGAGTGCCGCCACCAACCGGCTGGGGTAATTTATTTATAACAATATTCTACAATCTTATATTTATCAAGGTGTCTGACCACAGGCGTGCTTTTAATGATTTTGACAGTTTGGGGAAGTACAATGAGGTATTTTGTAGAAAGTCCTTTGATTAGGATTTGTCTGGCATTTTGCTCAAAATTGAATGAAGATCGGGGGGGATGGGTGAGATAAAGTACCATTATTAACACCCTTTATAAACTGGCACAAACTCCCAACATGGCAACCCACTGATGCTGACCTTAAACATGACTGAGGCAGTGTTTCTCATGTCTCATTCTATTAATAATAATATTAGTAGTAGTAATTAAAGTTCCTTTCCATATATACTAATTGGAAGCAAGTCACTGTGTCCATATTACACTGAAGGAGAAGGGTTATGTTCTACCTCTTAGGGAATGGAGAGGCTACATAAATCACATTTTTGGAATCCTTTTGCACGGGAGATCTATCTCTTCTCTCCATGTTTGCCTCCTCATCAAGTTTACACAGCAGCTCTTTACTGTATGGCCTTGGGGATATTTAGATGGTGCCTTGAGTGAGTTATAACTTAACACTTCTTCCTTGAGTTGCTTTGGCCACTAGATGCTCCCTTGGCAGCGCTTCTTTCATAGACTCCAATCAGTTTGCTTGGGTGATTTGTTGTTCTGCTTTTGATCACATCCTACGTTGTAGCACTTTAAGACACCCCAGGCTCACCCTTCCCGCTTCAACCCTAGCTTCAGCCATTTACCCAAAGAATCTTGCTTCTTTTTTACTGAAGAATAGTATTAGAAACCGGCTTATGAGTGCTAGGTGCAAAGACAAAAAATTTCATGCACTCTTCTTGATGTCGCCTGTTATAACAGAAAATTAAAAAGAGAGGAAATCTTGCAGGTTCTCTCCGTGACATCGGAGGGAAGCAAACGCTCATGTGTTTCTCCGCCACTGCCTCATACTCCTCTGCGGTCACGCTGGGAAGAATGTGTCGATCTGCTAGCTGCATTTTGTGTGATCTGGCCAAGACATCCAAACTCCAAGACTCCCTCCTCTTACCTACTTGCTAAATGGCAGGAGAAAAAAATGGTCACCTCACAAAGCAGGGGTGGGCATCAAACAAACCATTTTTTTTTTGGCTCAGTAAAAGTCACTACTATGATTAAATGTAGGGAGACTGGGTGTTGTTCATTTGAAATCTCTACTATCTCTGTTCCAGGCTGACTGGCCAGCTGTTTCGATGGAGTAGTTTTTCTCAGAGGTTACGTCTAAGTTTCTCTCTGGGGCCACTATCACATTCTGTCTGAGGTACTTGGTGGTAAATTTTTAAGTGAAGAGGCTGGGGTCTGGAGGTGGTGGTGGCTGACACCAGTAATTGTAATACTAAGGAGATCAAGGCAGGAGGATTGTCACGATTTTAGGCTAATTTGGCCTACACAATAACTGCTAGGGCAGTCCATTTTTTAAAACAAACAAACAACCAAAGTTAAAAGAGATTCAGGTTGTGAGCATCGGTACTGATTAAAATATAACCCATTAGTTTAAATATAGAATTTCCGATTTTGATTTAAGAAAGTTTTTCCAGTGAAAAATTACAGGTATTATGAAAAAAGTATCGAGACAGAAAAAGGTGACACAGCTTTTCTGGAGGCTGCTTTTGTTTCCCTGAGACGACATAAGCCGTGTTGTGGGGAGCTCTTTCTTGGCATTACTTTGTATTTTAGAATACAAAAGGAACTAAGGCCAGATGGCATTCAAAAGCATTCATCCAAGGGATAATTTCCAAGATAAAACTGACAACTATTTGTAATGAAATAAATTCATTTCAAGCAGGAAGCTAGTGGTATCTTTTGTCTCTTAGACGAGAGTAGATTTTGTGTAGTTCTGAGTCTGATTCTCCTGGGAGACAGTTTTCTGTGGGTATATGAGAAGGGATAAGATGGAAAATTAAGATTTATTTAGAAACCAAGCAATGTTAACCAAGATCAAAGATGTGGTCAACCACCAAAAAAAACTACCTCACTCTTAGGCATATGAAAACTGAAGGAAGGTTGGTGCCCGGCTTCTGAAGAGCTTCTATAGCATCCCACATGAGAAACCAGAAATTGAGAGCTGAACACTTTTCTGGGGGATATTTGGTTAAAAAAATCTTATTTTAGGTGAAAAAGGCTGTTTATTAACCTGCTTATGTATTTTTTTGGCAAGCATCCATTACTTTGTACAAATTTACAATGACTATTTGAATATGAATCACCAAGAAATAAAGCCTAAATTTTGTTTTAAAATAGGAGAAAATCACCTTTACCACATGATTTGTTACACCTGTTCCCTGTAATAAAAATCTACTGTACTAAAAAAAATTTGTGCATTAACTAGCCTATTATTTTTTCCTCAGCTTTAGTCAGTTAAAAGCATATATTTCCAAAAGAGACCTGTACTGACCCATCTTAGGTCAATAAGATAGAGTCATTTGGGAAGAGTGAACCTCAGTTGAGAAAATAGGCCCAGCAGACTGGCCTGTGGGTAAACCATGGTACATTTTTTGACAGATTGGGAGGGTCCAACTGTGGGTGGTGCCATCCCTGGGAAGGTAGTCCTGGGTGCTATAAGAAAGCAGAGTGAGCAAGCTATGAAGGGCATGTCAGTAAATAGGTTTCCTCCATTGCCTCCGCATTAGTTCCTGCCTTGAATTCCCTAGATAATAGACTACAAGCTCAAGCTCTAAGCTTTTGGTTATGGTATTTTATCAAGCAATATTCCAACTAAGATGAGAACTGTTCCAAGTCCATAGAACTAGGTATGAAGAGGAGTCAAGGGTTAACTCCTTCCCAGTTAAGTGTCTTTAATACTGCTGGGCAGAAGTTCCTGCTCAGCCTCATGTCCTGGCCTGCTCTTTATCACTTAGGCAACTGACTGCAGCTTTCTGGGCAGCACTTCTTCACTGGTACAGAGGATGTACAAGCATGCTATAGATGTCAACGGCATTTTGATAGTTTCTCCATTCTATTCAATTTCTGCTGAGACTTTGTGTGTGTGTGTGTGTGTGTGTGTGTGTGTGTGTGTATGTGCATGTGCACACATATGTAGGCTTGGGTGTAGGGGTCAGAGGTTGGTATTGAGTGTCAACTGCTCCACCTTAGTCTTTAAGACACGGTCTCTCACTGCACCCAGAGTTCACCAACTTAACTAGAGAGGATGGTCAGTAAGTTCTGGGATTCCTCCTGCTTCCAACTCTCCATGTCTGGGATTAAAGGCACACAACGTTGTTATTGTTGTTTTTCTACCATGGATGCTGGGGACTCTGAACTCAGTTCCTCGTGCTAGCATAGCAAACCCTCTATCAACTGAGCCATCGCCCCAGTCCCAAGCCACCCCTTTTCTGGGGTTCTACGGGTATTTCCCGAGTTCTGGCAGGAGTACCCGAGGGCTTTGAGCGGAATTCTAACACCTGCACACTAGGTAAACTGAAGGACTATAAGATGGGCCGCTTGCTTCCCTACTTCCTTTTTTCTCTCTTTCATCTCCCTCCCTTCCCCTCTCCCACCTTCCTCTCTCTCTTCCTTTCTTATCTTTTTTTCACCGAGTTGGCCATTGCCACATGAACAGGGGCTAAAGGTTCTTGTTTTTAAACTCAATAAAGCCCAGTTCCTTGTCTTTAGGATCTGCAAAACACTGTACCTAAGACACTCTGAATGGGACATTTTCATAAGGTGCTCTGGACTGAGGTAAATAAGGAAACAGTGCTTATGGGTTGGTTTCAGCGAACCTATTAAATTCCACCCCCTGGTGTATCCAGGACTTTATTTTAGCGTAGCAATCATTTAAGGGCCAGGAAACCACTTCCACTACTTAGGTACAAAGATCTCAAAGTGAGGATTTCAATATGTCTTCCCAAGCCTTGTCAAATAAATATTTGCATCTTTGCGGTTTTCTTCCCCCATGCTCGGGATGCTTACAACCGGATCTGGAAAATGGACAGAGGAAGAGAATATTCTTAGGCTATAGATGATTAAATGATGAGGAAGACGACAAGGGAATAAACAGAAAATTGGAAATAAAAACTTCCCAAGAAGTAACTTCCGCGTCAGATGGCCAACTAGAAGCTACCTCCCTGTACTCCTGGGAAGAGGTGTCAGGAAAAGAGAAAGGCTATTACTAAGAAAAAGGAAGAGCTTTGGAAATCCATACAGGGGGTGACGGGATGCTGAAAGGTGCAGAGGAACAGAAAGGCGACACACCGAAAAGAGGAGTGCCTTGCGGAACACAGCACCAGCGGCGGGGCTCCCTGGCGCAGGGCAGCAGAAACAGAAATGTCATCTGGAAAGTGACATCATCAAGTGTCTCTGGAGAGAAGAGACTGGCAGTTCCATCCACAGACAAAGCCGTGGTTCTCATGAGCCTCAGATCCACTTGTAGGTCTTGCTGAGACAGTGACTTCTTTGGTGGGAAGAGTCCGCAGCTGGAGAGAGTTCAGCCAGCTCAGAAAGGTCCTCCCATCCCAAGGGAGTCTGTCTTTCAAAATCTGGCTACCGGGCAGCTTCAGACAAGGGAAGAACCACAAGCCGAGGAGTCAGATTCATCAAGGGTAAGAGACAACCCTGAGAGGCAGTTGCAGAGAACAGGAGGGCTGAATGCTGGCAGGTAGCAGAAGGACATAAAATGAAGTGAATAGGAAAAGATAGCACCACCCTCAGTGACTGGGAGCAGAATTTATCAGCTGAAGACCATTTTGGAGGTTAATAGCCTTGAGCCCAAGGTCATCAAGTAGATCAACCCCTGGAGCTACCCAGCTGCCATGAAGTTGCAGCCGAACCCTTGACACTTAAAGTTGCAGCCCTCCACCAGGGGTGCAACAAAGTGCGAAGACAGATCCACC